CCACTGATTCAGGTGGCGCCCTCATGAGCACCAGAAACTTTCCTTTCTGACTGCCTTTACTTGGTAGCTTCCACTGCCTTTATCCAATAAAGGGGTTTACAAGAAGAAAATTAATTAAAATGAATGTCTATTTGGTTTTCATGATCCAAATCCTTTTTTAAAAACATCCTTGTTTGTATTTTTTACAGCGAGAAATATAGTTGTCAGGAGCACAAGATGATCACGTTTGCTGGGGATAGTTTTCTCTGCATGTAGCAAAATTACATCCAGAGTTAAATGGTGAGTGTGGAATCGGAGCAAGGGCAGTTGATTAGCTGAGCAGTCCTATAAAATAAAATAAATCAGAAAGAAGGGAATATGGTGGAAAATAAAAATTCCTATACCCGCCCTCTAAACTCACTAATAGCATTATGAAGTCGCCAGCAGTGAAGATTTCAAGCATACATATGTAAAAAGTTGAACCATATGAAATTGCCATTCTTATAGGTTAGAAATTACCACATATCGGCAATTTCATAAGGCTCAACCAATACATCCTCTTGCTGCACGTACTGCCAGCCATACTTTATACACTCACATTCACATTCTTTTTTTTTTTTTTTTTTTCTTGAGACAGAGTCTCACTTTGTCACCCAGACTGGAGTGCAGTAGCATGAACACAGCTCACTGCGGCCTCAGCCTCCCTGGGCTCAGGTGATCCTCCTGCCTCACCCTCCCAAGTAGCTGGGTCTATTGTGCACCACCAACTCCAGCTAATTTTTTGTAAAGATGAGGTTTTGCCCTGTTGCCCAGACTGGTCTTCAACTCCTGAGCTCAAGCAATCTGCCCACCTTGGCCTCCCAAAGTGCTGAGATTGCAGGTGTGAGCTACTACGCCCAATCTACTCATACTCTTTATAATTCTCTTTTTCACTTAATAATAATGTATAGTGGCCATTTTTCCCTATCAACACAACTCTACATCACTTTCTAAATAACTGCATAATTTGCCATTACATGGACATACCATACTTTAACTCTTGTGATGGATATTTAACTTGTTTCCTGTCTTTTGCTCTGTCCTTTAATATAGTTGGATAAACACAATGGCTGTTGTCTTCAAACATAAAAGCTCCATGCTTTCATTTCCAGTCTAGTGACATGCGTGCCAAAACAACACACTTGGGTTTGTGGGTTGAGTTTCTGTATCTCTCACCATTGTTTAAAATCTCAAATACCCACACAACAATTTAAGGAAAATCAGGTTGGGCGCGGTGACTCATGCCTGTAATCCCAGCAATTTGGGAGGCTGAGGTGGGCGGATCACTTGAGGTCAGGAATTCAAGACCAGCCTGGCCAACATGGTGAAAACCCATCTCTACTAAAAATACAAAAATTAGCCAGGCATGGTGGTGATGTGTGCCTGTAATCCCAGCTACTTGGGAGGCTGGAGCAGGAGAATCACTTGAACACAGCAGGCGGAGGTTGCAGTGAGCTGAAATCTCACCACTGCACTCCAGCCTGAGTGACAGAGCGAGACTCTGTCTCAAGGAAAAAAAAAAAAGAAGAAGAAGAAAAAGAAAAATACATAGGAAAATCAACTATATTGTTTAATTTGGATATAGACCCAAGTTCATCGCTAAAGATGCCATCTGAGTTATAATCTTTGTTATTCAAGCTAAAAAATCCTGCCTCAGATCATTATCATTATTATTAGACTGTTACTATTTACAGCTTTGCCTTTTATCAATGCTTATGTTACTACCCTGCTTAAAAAGCTTTACCTCATTTGCAAGAACATGGGTAGATCTGGAGGACATTATACTAAGTGAAATAAGTCAGGCACAGAAAGACAAACACTGCATGATCTCACCATACATGGAATCTGGAAAGGTTGAACTCATAGAAGTAGAGAGCAAAATTTGGTTATCAGGGGCTGGAGGAGTGGGAAGGGAGGGAAGTGGGAGTTGTGGATCAAAGAGTACAAAGATTTAAATAAACAAGAAAAATAAGTTTTGAGATTTACTGCACAGCAGGGTGACTACAGTCAATAATAATGTATCATATATTTCAAAATAACCAAGAGCAAATTTCAAATATCTCACAATAAAAAAGATTGGTAAGCAAGGTGATGGATATGTTAATTTGTTTAATCGCTCCACATTGTATACATATAACAAAATATCACATTGTACTCCATAAATGTATACAGTGATTTGTCAATTAAAATAACATTAATTTTAAAAAGGCTCTACAGCTGGGTGTGGTAGCTCACGCCTGTAATCCCAGCACTTTGGGAGGCTGAGGTGGGCGGATCATCTGAGGTCAGGAGTTCGAGACCAGCCTGGCTAACACAGTGAAACCCCGTCTCTACTAAAAGTACAAAAATTAGCCGGGTGTGGTGGCTCATTCCTGTAATACCAGCTATTTGGGAGGCTGAGGCGGGAGAATCGCCTGAACCCAGGAGGCAGAGGTTGCAGTGAGTTGAGATCTCACCACTGTACTCCAGTCTGGGCAACAGAGCAAAACTCTGTCTCAGAAAGAAAAAAAAAAAAAAAAAAGGCTCTGCCTGCAGAATAAAATATAACTTCTTCCTTTGGCATTCAAGTTCCTTTGCCTCCAGCCCCAGTGTACCTTTCCAGCCTTGTTCCCCTCTATCATATGTATTCTATGCTGCCCAACCTGACCACATCACCACTCTTTCATGCAAGCTATTCCCTCTGTAATGTCCTTCCCTCTCAGTTCCTCTGAGGGAAGCTGGCCCAGGGTCACAATCCACCTGAAATGCCACTTCTCAAACCTCCTTCTCTTCTCTCCCCTCTCAAAGGCAGTGTGATTTTGTAAGGAAAGCATATGCTTTCATGGTGTGTGTGTGTGTCTATGCATGTCTATGTTTCTGCGTGTGTATTTAATAGAGACTGCATCTTGTAAATGCTTTCATGTTTGACACACCTGTGTTTGAATCCCCAGCTTCTCTGCTTTCTTGCTGTGGAAGCCGGCACAAATTACTCAGCTTCCCTTAGCCTCAGTTTTTGTCATCCACAAAATGGAATGTAATCTCTTGGTTATGCCTAGAACATTTGGAAGGGCATGTAGGCCCATTGTTATCAGGGAAGTGTATTTATTAGCAGATCACACATGTGCAGAGAATGTGTAAAGATTTTTACTGTCACTGAATTATATCCTGAGAAGTCTTGGACTGATTTGGTCTTTATGGAGTCCACTCAGATGAGCTCCCGATAGCTCTTGCCATCTTCTTTGTCTCCACAGGCCCCTGGTCATTTTCTTGTTTCTCTCTCCCCCCAGGGATTCATGTTTCATCCAGGAGGGGTTGTGTACACCGGCAGAGAGAGAGAGAGAGACTTCTAAAGGAAATACAACCTTTCTGTTGACTTATACCATATTTTAAAAAATTTCTGTGTTCTGTACAATCGGCCAACCAAGGAGCTGAAAAAGAAAAAAAAACTATATTGTCTCACAGGTATTCTCATGCTTATCATGTTGGAGTATTAAAAATAATATCTGTCAAATGCCTAGAATATTTAACACATGAAAAATAAGCCAGGAAAGAAAGAATAACTTAACATTAACAGGTTCTCCTCTTCGTCTTGTGTATAAAAAGAAGCCTGTCTTTAGTCAGAGTCCCCAGCTTAAGTCAGGAGTAACGGAGGAGGAGGAAAAATGAGAGATTGGAGGCCTCATTTTGGAAAGTGGGTTACTGAGAAATAAACAATACTTAGTAGGGAGCAGAACCACCAAGGACTGCATGTGAGAGTTTGGAAAAGTTTTGAGACAGAAAATGGCAGTCGGGAACATCTGCCATATAGTGTAGCATGAAAAATGCAGGAAGGGAGGCAGAGATTGGGAAAGATGACTTTAAAGCATGTTCTTGTATGTAATGAGTGTAATTCCCATTTTGCCATTTCCAAGAGTCCGGAGAAGATCCTAATTGATTTTCAACTACTTCCTAATGACACTTGCTAAGATGAACCCGGAGGGGTCGCTTTACTAAATGTGATTATCTTCTCTGGAGCCCAGATCATCTTCCTTAAAGTTGCGGTACGGAAGTGCCAATGTTATGATATGCTATGCAGTAAATTTGACCCTGTGTGTGTTTACCGCCCTTACGAGTTTATAAACAGGCCCCTTGACAATAGGGATTTTTCTTAATCATCTTTGTGCCCTACCCAGCTCCAGCTTCCAGCCACCCCGTTAGTGAAAACTGTACAAACGACATGTTCAAAAATTAGTGTGAAATGAATGCATAGGTGATGAATGAATGGGATTGAAATTAGAGGGTGATTTCGTTAGCGGCGTCTATGACAGCACTGCCTTTCCCCCCACCAGCCGATGGGCTCCGTGAGGGACCAAGGCTCCTTGGTCCTCACTTTGTCCCCAGCACTTGCACTCTGTCAAGCACAAAATAAGCATCGGGAGAATCTTTGTGTACCCTCGCATATTTCAGCGCATCAAGAATGGAAGAAAGGCCAAGCACAGGGGCTCACGCTTGTAATCCCAGCACTTTGGGTCAAGGAGGGCGGATCACTTGAGGTCAGGAGTTATAGACCAGCCTGGTCAACATGGTAAAACCCTGTCTCTACTAACAACACAAAAAATTTAGCCCAGCGTGTTGACGGCCGCCTGTAATCTCAGCTACTCGGGATGCTGAGGCAGGAAAATCGCTTGAACCCGGGAGGTGGAGGCTGCAGTGAGCCGAGATCGTGCCACTGCACTCCAGCCTGGTCGACTGAGAGAGACTCCGTCTCAAAAAAAAAAAAAAAAAAGAATGGAAGAAAGCAAAACAATCCAAGGCCAAACTGAAGCGAGCTGCCTTGGTGGGACTCCGGTGCATAAGTGCAGAGTCGCCCGCTCTTGGGTGCCTAATAAACAACCGGACTCCCGCAGGCGCTCAGCCAACTGCAGCGATCGCTGGAGCCGGCTGTCCTCCACAGCGATAGGGGGCGCTGTAGTCAAGTGCGGCTGTCGAGTCCGCGTGGTGCCGCTCTCTGGGCGGAGTGGGGAGGCGGTAGGAGGACCTGTGGCGGTCCTGCTTCGGCAGTCTCTGCGGCCCGGTTTCCCTTGGCGTGCGACTGTGCGCTCAATCCAGCACCATGGGGAAGCGGGACAATCGGGTGGTGAGTACTCAGCGGGGAAAACAATAGGGCGATGCAGGGCCGGGCGGCAGGACAGCGAGACCCGTCGCTGTCCCGGCCGGGCCGGAGGGCAAGCGGCAGCCCTCGGATGTGGGGCCCGGAGACCCAGCACCCTCCGCCGATCCCAGATGCGCGTGCGCCGCGCACGCAGTTGGCGCTTTAGGGTCCCCAGCTCTCTCTTGCCCGCCCCTTTTCCTTCGCCTCGCCTCTCTTTCTGGCGCTGCTCCTTTGCACCCTTGCCTACTGTACGCGGGCCCCCAGTGCCCACTTAGAACCGCGAGGGCTCGGGGAAATCCCCCTCTCCCGCCCCGCCATGTAACTCCGAAGTCTTAGGCCCTGGGAGGCGCCCGACTCACCCGCTCCTCGGTATCGGCCACCCCAGGTCCGCACTCCTCTGCAACTGCGCACCCCTCTGCAACTGCGCACCCCTCTCCAACTGCGCACCCAAGTGGGAGGGAGGCACAGAGGCCTCGACTGGTCCCGGAGGGCCAGCAGCGCGCCTGGTTTTAGCGACAAGCAGGCTCCCGTTTGAAAATGGGATGGCAGCATCGGCCTTCGTGTTTCCAGCGCCCTATAGGACCTGGCACCCATAGACACTGAAGGAATGAATGGCGTGAAAATAGTTGGCTTTCGAATCCAACACAAAACTGGAATGTCAGTTTTGTTCCGTCGGAAGTTGGGTGACCTAGAACAAGTTACTTCTCTGTGCCTTAGTTTATTAAAGGGGATCATTATTATCTACAACCTTACAGAATAATTGAAACCACAAAAGGCAAGATGTGTGAGCTAGTACTGAGCATGAAAATTATTACTCTAGTAAATGAGATAAAAGAGATACATAAATAACTTATAGCAGAAAGAGTAGGAAGTGGTCCTTGACAGATATTAGAAATTCTAAAGGCATTCAGAAGAAAAGGTGCTTTTGAGAAGCGGAGATGGGAGGAAAGCATTCTAGATCGCTGGGGCGGGGGAGCTGAAAAACTCAGGTTATGAATCAGATTGAATGGGTGATAAACATAATGAAATAGCAATAAGCTTAGGTTGCAGCCTGACAGTTACTGGGCTTGCCTGTGACAGAGTTTTAGCCAGAGTAGCAAAATGAGGAAAATGCACGTAAAACGAATGTGCTACGTTTCTTGAACTCGCTTTTTTATTCAACAATTATTTGCAAACTGTGTGTCTCTCGCGCCAAATCATTACATTTATGAAATGATGACACTTGCCATCAGTATTTGCCAGTTCTTGCATGGCTTTTATAAAGAAAAACCTGAGACTGGGTAATTTATAAAGAAAAGGGTTTAATTGGCTCACACAGTTCTATGGGCTGTACAGAAAGCTTAAGGGCATCTGCTTCTGGGGAGGCCTCAGGGAGCTGTTACTCATGGTGGAAGGCAAAGCAGGGACAGGCGTCTTACATGGCAGGAGCAGGACCAAGAGAGGGACGGACGGGGAGAGGTGCTACAGTTTTAAACAACCGCATCTCTTGAAAACTCTTATCTCTATACAGTGCAGGGGAGAGGGGGATGCTAAACCATTCATGAGACCTCCGCCCCCCTGATCCAGTGACCTCCCACTAGGCCCCACCTCCAGCATTGGGGATTACAATTCGACATGAGATTTGGGCGGGGACACAGATCCAAACCGTTTCACCATCTTAAAAGCTTTGTAGTTCTGTATAGTCTTTATAATGGAAAACGTCTAGGAACCACTGTGGTAGTGAATCTTGATTACAAGATAGCGGGATGTTCTTTCTCCTGGCTGCAGGTGAGACTTGGTTGTGATATCTTGATTGTTATGGCGTTGAAGTGATGTAGCATAACACCATTTCAGCATAGGAGCATCCTTAGGTGTTTGAATATTTAGGCTCTTTTAATACCCTTGGGCCTTGAATGTTTAGAGATCACCTGACCTTGGATGCAGTTTCATATACAGACCTAAAATGTTTCATATTACTGAAGAAACGTTTTGGTTTAAACATCCCTTTAAAGCATTTGAAAAACTTACCAAATTAGCTTCATTTACTAGAACATTTTGATAGCTCTGGGCTCTACTTACTGTTGGTATGCAGCCATGGCACAGAGTATTCTGGTAACATTTTGTATGCACTTCAAAGATTGGGATTAAGAACAAGAAATTAAGAGGTAGAAGACATAGATTGTCTAATTCAGTCTCCTCATTGCATAGAGGAGGGGTAAGACTGTTTAAACTGGGACCAAAACTTCAGTCATCTGACACTCAGTTCTGTACGTCTTAACTCTTTTCTTTTTAAGACTTTGTTTTTGTTTTGTTTTTTTAAGCAGTTTTAGTTTTACAGCAATATTGAGAGGAAGGTACAAAGATAACCCGTTTACCTCCTGGCCCCACTCATGCATAGCCTCGCCATTATGAACATCCTTCACCGGAGTGTACATTTGTTACAATTGATGAACTTATGTTGACATGTTACTATCATCCAGTCAGTAGTTTATATTAGTGCTGACTCAGTATTCATTCTCTATGGGCTTGGACGAATTTATTTATTTATTTATTTATTTATTTATTTATTTATTTATTTATTTTGAGACAGGGTCTCACTCTGTTGCCCAAGCTGGAGTGCAGTGTCGCCATCATGGGTCATTGCAGCTTCAACTTCCCAGGCTCAAGAGATACTCTTACGTCAGCCTCCCGAGTAGCTAGGACCACAGGTGCATGCCACCACACCTGGCTAATTTTTTGTCATTTTTTTGTAGAGATGGGGTTTCACCAGGCTGCCCAGGCTGGTCTCGAATTCCTGGCCTCAAGCAATCCTCCCGTCTCGGCCTCCAAAAGTGCTCGGATTACAGGAGTGCCACCACACGTGGCCAACAAATTTATAATGACATGCGTTCGCCAATATAGTATCATAAAGAGTAAAAATCCTCTGTTCTGCCTAGCCATTCCTCTATCACCCCTGCCTCCAAATGTGGCAACCACTGATCTTTTTACTGACTCCATAGTTTTGCCATAACACTTGATTTGGAGCAACAAAATGAATATTTGCCTCTGAAAATACTGGCATTTTTTGAGATTGTCTCAAAAACAGTTCCTGTTCTTTTTTGCATTGATGATACAATCATAGTTTTAAAGATGATAGGATTGCTTTCCAAAAAAAAACCCCAGTGAATTTCAGGTTGAACAGTTTTTTACATTTTTATTTTTAGAGCAGTTTTAGGTTCATAGCAAAATTGAACAGAAAGTACAGAGGGTTCCCATATACCTCCACACTTGTGCAGCTCCACCATTATCAACATTCACCAGCACCAGCAGGGGAGTACATTTGTTACATTTGATGAACCTACATTGACGCATCATCATCACCCCGAGACAGTAGTTTACATTAGGGTTCACTCTTGGTGTACATTCTTGAACAGTTTTTATCACTGAATGTTTTAATTCAGGACTTGTAATGGGCTCTTAAGTTCCTGATGGCCACCTTTTGTGCCTGTTGTTTTCCAAAGTGTTCTTCATGTTCTTTTCTGCTACTTTGAGCCCTCTAAAATAGATGTATCCTCTAGATAAAAATAGGTGATCAGATTGACAAATGAAATTCTGCACATTGTGTCTTTAGCCAGTTTTGCTGCGTTGCTCTTTTTGTACCTGCACACATACATATCCCCTTGAGACCAATTTGCCATCCTGAGTTTCAGAAACAAATCATTTTCTGTTATCTAAACTCATGCAGCAGTTTGAAGCCACAGACAATTCTAGTTACATATGGATGTGAATGTTTGATTTACAAGGTCACAGTATTTATGATTAAGTGATAGTGAAATGTTTCAAGAAATTGCACAATCTCTGTATTTTAGTGAATGCTTTACCATGTCACCCACTTAATGTTAGGAGCATTATTTTTCACACTGATACAAAAATGAAAACTCTTGTACCTTTGTAAAAATAGTTACTTTTCTTGTTTTAAAAGCTTTCTGTTGTGCATAGTTTTAAAGAAAAGTATTGTTGCTTAATGAATAAGAGGAGACTATCAAGTGTTTTGCATGGAGCCTAGTACATAAGATGCACTTTAAAAAATATTGCTATTATAATTGAAATAAATAATGGAGATATTTGGAGTGTATTTAAGCAGACTGAGATAGTGTTTGGTCAAAAGCTTAAAAGTAAGCCTTATTCAGCAGTAGTTCATGTAAGTGTACCTGTAGTCCTAGCATGTGAATATATTACTTTACTATTATTTTTCTCTGAAAAGTAGGAATAGGTTGGTATGTACTTTATAAAAGCAGTTTGATAGTACACAGTAAGACAGTAAAAATATTAATGTACTTTAAAGATACGTGCTAGATAACTTGAAGACTGTAAAACATGGTAAATGTTATGATTTTTTTTTCATTAGAATGAAAAATTGCCAGTGCATTATCTGTGAATTTTTATATAAGTACAGTTCAGTTCTCTGAGTCGGAATGGCAGTATTGTGGTTGGATTTTTGTCATTTTGTTTACCTTTATTATTACCATAATAATGTTTATGCAGTTACCTTTTTTGTTTTATAAAGGTAATCATTATTTAAAATTTTTTTCTCCAGTATGAATGAATATGGATGTTTTCCTTTATATTTTGGTGCACGTGCAGCCTAATTTTTAAATTTTTAGTTATTTATTAAAATAATTCTTTTATTTTGGCAACTTGCCTTTGCTTTTCACTTGAGAAATCTTAAATATCTTATCAGGAACTATGGATCTACTTCATTCATTTTAGCAGCTACATAATATTTCATAGGGAGCATACTTTAATATATTTAGCGAATCCCAGTTTGATAGCTATTTGGGTGTTTTCAGTGTTTGCTGTTTTAGTAATTTAGACCTGAATATCCTTGATATGTATATATTTGCACTCTTTAGAAATGAACAGTTTTTACAATTCTAACCTAAAATATTTTGCCATTAGGTACTGCCAAAATTATGACATGATACCAAGGAAATTAGAATGTGATCAATATTGTTAAAAACAAAAACCTGAAACCAGTTAAATTTAACAAAGGTCATTTGAGCAAGAAAAAGATTCTAGAACTGGAGGAAGATGTTCTACATCCTGGTGACCTATATTTGCAACAGGAAATGACATACAGAGATTCCCTGATTGGTGCAGTTCTGAGTTTGCCTTATTTGGGCATAATTTGGCAACCTTCTATTTGGGATTGGTTGAGGGTTGGGCTCCTGTGATTGGCTGAGACTCAGTTGATTGGTTAAGAGGGCATACTCTTAGATTAGGCTAGAACTTATTTGTACATCACGCCAGGTTGCACTTCACCATATACAGAGGGTTTTTGCTTTGTTTTGTTTTTTCAGTAGAGACAAGGTTGGTCTCTCCTGAGCTCAAGCTCCTCCCACCTCACCCTCCCAAAGTGCTAGATTACAGGTGTGAGCCAGTGCACCTGGCCTTTTGGGCCACATTTTATTACCCAAGTAGGAGGACACTTTGAGCCGAACTTAACTGTGTTGAACAGTACAAATAATACTCCTGTTTTACAAACAGTGAACTAAGCTGCACATGGTACTTGCCTTCATTGTCTTCATTTCTGCCTTCATAGGTTGTCATACTTCCACACCAACTAATCGAAATGCTTAGCAAAAGCAGTTGAATGAAATCTTTGAGGGTATAACATTTTATACAAAAAAAAATAATAACAATATGCCTCTGTCTTTAACATTGCATTTGATATCCACATCTTGCCCTGATTCTGTAAACATTCATGACATTAGGGGCTCTAGCATTTGTTCCTGCTTATAGAAAAGTATGTCAAAGATTTGTCTTTTTCGGCCGGGCGCGGTGGCTCACGCCTGTAATCCCAGCACTTTGGGAGGCCGAGGCGGGCGGATCACAAGGTCAGGAGATCGAGACCACGGTGAAACCCCGTCTCTACTAAAAATTACAAAAAATTAGCCGGGCGCGGTTGTGGGCGCCTGTAGTCCCAGCTACTCGGGAGGCTGAGGCAGGAGAATGGCGTGAACCCGGGAGGCGGAGCTTGCAGTGAGCCGAGATCGCGCCACTGCACTCCAGCCTGGGCTGGGCGACAGAGCGAGACTCCGTCTCAAAAAAAAAAAAAAAAAAGATTTGTCTTTTTCATTCCAAGTAATTAGGCTGTGTCAGTTGAATGGTAAGGGTTCTCAGTATGTGTTGTTTATGCTGGTTTTATATTGTTTACTCTGACAGAGAAATCTGGAAGTATATAACTTTTATCTGTTATAAAGGTGGGAAAGAAATGATGGTCATTTTCATAGATTTTGTTAAATGCAACAAATATATTGTTTCCTTTCACTTATTTTGGATTATTACAAGGTATAATACCTTCAGCCAACCTTTAGGATAGTCATTTTCAATCAAAAATCTTTTTATTTAAAAAGTAGGTGAGTTTCATAAATGTCTGTTGACTGGGCATGGTGGCTCACACCTGTTGTCCTAGCTACTCAGGAGGCCGAGGTAGGGGGATTTTTCGAAGCTGCAGTGAGCTATGATCACACCACTCACCACTGTACTCCAGCCTGGGCAAAAGAACAAGACCCTGTCTTTCTTTCTTTCTTTCTTTCTTTTTTTTTTTTTTTTTTTTTTTTTGAGAGAGAGTTTCGCTCTTTCGTCCAGGCTAGAGTGAAGTGGCACAGTCTCAACTCAGTGCAACCTCTACCTCCTGGGTTCCAGTGATTTTCCTGCCTCAGCCTCCTGAGTAGCCAAGATTATAGGCAGCTGCCACCACACTTGGCTAATTTTTGTGTTTTTAGTAGAGATAGGGTTTCACCACGTTGACCAGGCTGGTCTCAAACTCCTGACTTCAGGTGATACACCCGCCCCGGCCTCCCAAAGTGCTAGGATTACAGGTGTGAGCCACCGCGCCTGGCCGACCCTGTCTTTTAAAAAAAATGATAATAGTAATAAATAAAATTTTTATTGACTTAAATTTGGAAAAACTAAATATAAGAGGTAGAGAATGAATTAAAGACCAGACTGTATATCAGTAGTTTTAACAAAACATCGCTTTGCTAGACACTGTCAATAACAAAGAAACCTTTTGCTTTGTTTTGCCTCAATATATTTTTGAAAAAAATCTCTAAAATATTTTTCTGCTGTAGTAAGTGTAGTAGACAGCATGATTTAAATTTTTGCAGATGTTTTAATTGAGCTAAAATGTGTATAACAAAATTTACCATTTTAACTGTTTCTAAGTGTATAGTTTAGTGACATTCAGTACATTCATACTGTTGTGCAACCATCATCACTATCCATTTTCATCATCCCAAACAAGAATCTCTGTATCCATTAAACAGTAAACTCCCAAATTCCTCTTCTCCCCAGACCCTGGTTAACCTCCATTCTACTTTCTTTTCTAGGTATCAAATATAAATGGAATCATGTATTTGTTCCTTTGTGTTTTTCTTGTTTTATTTCATTTAGCATATTTTCAAGGCTGATCCAGGTTGTTTAGAGTATGTGTCAGAATTGCATTCTTTTTTAAGGCTGAATAATATTCCATTGTATGTATATACCACAGTTTTGTTTATCCATTTGTCCATGGATGGACATTTGCATCGTTTCCACATTTCAGGTTTTGTGAATCCTGCCGTTGTGAGCATTTGTGTACAAGTATCTGTTTAGTCCCTTCTTTGAATTCTTTTGGGTGTATACCTAGAAGTGTTATATAGGATCATGTGGTAGTTCTATGTTTAACTTTTTGAGGAACCACTAAACTGTCTTCCACAGTGGCCACACCGTTTTACATTCCCGCCAGCAATGTGAAAGGGTTCCAGTTTCTCTGCATCCTTGCTAACCCTTGCAATTTTCTGTTTGATAGTAGCCATCCTAATGGGTATAGAATGGCATCTCTTTGTGGTTTCAATTTACATTTTCCTAATGACTAGTGATACTGAACATTTTTTATGTGTTTATTGGCCATTTACTGTATACCTTCTTTAGAGAAATACCTATTCAAGGCCGGGCGCGGTGGCTCAAGCCTGTAATCCTAGCACTTTGGGAGGCCGAGACGGGCGGATCACGAGGTCAGGAGATCGAGACCATCCTGGCTAACACGGTGAAACCCCGTCTCTACTAAAAATACAAGAAAATTAGCCGGGCGAGGTGGCAGGCGCCTGTAGTCCTAGCTACTCGGGAGGCTGAGGCAGGAGAATGGCGTGAACCCGGGGGGGCGGAGCTTGCAGTGAGCCGAGATCGCGCCACTGCACTCCAGCCTGGGGCACAGAGCAAGACTCCGTCTCAAAAAAAAAAAAAAAAAGAGAAATACCTATTCAAGTCTTCTGCCCATTTTTTAATTACTCTGGGTTTTTTTTGTTGTTGTTAAGTTGTAGGAGCTTGTTTTACATTCTGGATATTAATCTCTTACTAGATTTATGATTTACAAATATTTTCTCTCATTCTGTGAATTGTCTTTTCACTCTTACCAGTGTCCTTTGATGCACAAACTTTTACATTTTGATGTTCTGTTTATTTTTTTGTTGCCTGTATATAATTTTTGATGTTAACTATTTGTGAATAAAATTGTCATCAGCATGACGTAGTAGTTCCTGGGAGACAAAATGTAGTTGAATAAACAATGAATTTAGAGTTCGATCTTATTTAACTTCTTTGGAATTGAATTGAATTTATTTTATTTTATTTTTATTTTTTATTTTGAGAGGGAGTCTCGCTGTGTCGCCCAGGCTGGAGTGCAGTGGCACAATCTCAGCTCACCGCAACCTCCACCTCCTGGGTTCAAGTGATTCTCCTGTCTCAGCCTCCTGAGTAGCTAGGATTACAGGCGTGAGCCACCACACCTAATTTTTGTATTTTTAGTAGAGACAGGGTGTCACCATGTCAGCCAGGCTGGTCTTGAACTCCTGACCTCAGGTGTTCCACCTGCCTCAGCCTCCCAAAGTGCTGGGATTACAGGCATGAGCCATTGCACCCAGTCCGGAATTGAGTTTCTTAATTTTCTAGTGAACATATTGGTATCACCCTCACAGGATTACTGGGCTTTAGGAGAAAGAGCTGTAAAGCCATCAGTAGGTCAGAGGTATCTATTATTTCATCAAATCTCTTGTAAAACACACACACACACATTTTCTCCCAAACTTTAATATTATCTCTCAAACTTTTAAGGCTTAAAAGAGGGTTAAATTAATTTCTTTAGAATGAAAAGTTGGTTAGTCGGATTGCATATACTTAGCTGGATATAGTATGTATTTATAGTAAAGATTATTTGATGAGTAAGTGAACTTTTGCATGTTTAATGGTTGCTTTAATGGAATTAATTGTTGTTCTTTCCCCAAGGCCTATATGAACCCAATAGCAATGGCGAGATCAAGAGGTCCAGTCCAGTCTTCAGGGCCAACAATACAAGATTATCTGAATCGACCAAGGCCTACCTGGTATTTGTGAAACACTTTACCTATTTATAAGCTTTTTATCAACTTTTTAAACTTTATTCTTAAGACTTTAATTGATTTTATTGATTGCCAAGCAATTACCAGATGAATAATTTTTTTTAAGTAGCATTTGATATATGCTTTCTTTTGAATGTGTGAAACACATGCATGTACAATTACAAAGCAAACATTTGAGAACCCACTACCTAGTATGGCCAAAGCACTGCCAGGTAGCTTTTTCATACCAGTCTCTTCACTGTCCCATAAAAGATCTTAACCTTGCAGTGGTCAAAGCTATTTAGTGAGTTTAAGTAGTCTTGTCCTTTACTGAGGTGTAACCAGGTATCAGGAAGAATAATATTCAGCTTTGTTTCTAGTTTTATCTGCCAACTTTTCAATGAATTAGAAAAACTTACTGATTTTTTTAAATAAAGCATCAGAGTATGGGCTGTATTATTCTTTAGTATGTCTTCCTTATTAATACCATACTCCTGAGACAGCATGTGACACAGGCTTTAGAGCTGTTAACTTCAGAATCCCAAGTGCGCCTAAAAACTGGGCAACTGGTTGAAAAGTATGCTTATGTATAATAGGGAATCCTTCCTTTGAGTTAAATAGGAAGTAAGGATTGTTTACCAGTGGGTGTGAGTGCCATTGTTAACCACTGCAGCATACCAGAAAATGCATTATCCCAAAACAAAGTATGTTTTAATGGGGAGAGGGAATGAATTTTTCAAGGGGAAATGTCCAAGTAAATATATTACATGTGTATCACAGATCATCAAGACAGCCCTCAGGTCGAGTAACTCATAGGGACTCACTGGAGTTTCAGCAGATAGTCGTACTCATGGTAAGATGTATTACTGTGAAAGGCTACCAAGCACAATCAGCAAAAGGAAAAGGCACTTGGAACAAAGTTTGTCTAAGTCCTGGAGCAGGCTTTGAAGGGTCCTCTCCTAGTGGGATCACATGAGAGGCACTTAATTCCCGTAGTAAGGAGTTGTGATAATACATACGAGATATTGGCAACCAATTGAAGCTTATTAGAGACTCAGTGCCCAGGGTTTTTATTGAGGCTGATCGGTCTCTGCCTGTCATGTACCAAAATTCCAGATTCCAGGGCTGGGCATGGTTGCTCATGCCTATAGTTTCAGCACTTTGGGAAGGCGAGGCAGGAGGATCGCTTGAGGCCAGGAGTTTGAGATTAGCCTGGGCAACATAGCAAGATGCTGTCTGTACAAAATATATATATATACACCATATATATATATATACACACACATGTATTTTTTTTTTTAATTGGCTGGATGTGGTAGTACATGCCTGTAGTCTTAGTTACTTGGGATATTGAGGCAGAAGGATTGCTTGAGGCCAGGAGTTGAAGATTACAGTGAACTATGATCACACCACTGCATTCTAGCCTGGGCGACAGAGCAAGGCCTTGTCTCTTTAAAAAAAAAAAAAAAAAAAAAAAAAGTCCAGATTCCCGGAAGGAAAACAGGTATTTAGCTTGAACTACATTGTTTGTACAAACGGTTTAGGCACAATGATCTGCTCTAACCAGAGAATAGCATGAATCCTCCAAATTCAGGTTCCCAGATGCGCCTCTAGGGCCAGTCTTTTAAGTACATCTTTCCAAGAATAAGCAATCAGGCGAGCTGTATTAACTCTTCTCTGCACAGCATGTTAGCTACCTTATTAAATGGGTCATATATAGAATACAGTAGTTCAGTCAGATAGATTTTAGGGCATCCTAACACTGAAAACTACCAGGTTTATGACTTTAGGTGGATTTCTTACCTTCTCCAAGCTTCGGTTTCTTTATCTGTAAAATGAGGATCCATACCTTTTCCCACAGGGTTGTTGTGAGGATTAAATGAAAATGTATTTTAAATAGTGCCTGTTGTAAATGCTTAGATGTTTGGTGTATTCTCTCTTATAATCCATATTTAGAAAAGGAGTGATTAGTGTTATCTGATAGGCTTTATTATGGTAACTTATTTTTATAGATGCGAACAAAGAAATACCAACATTGAATAGCGGTCTATTAGAATATTTAAAAGAGTTTATGAAATTTTTTTGTCTTATTTGTAAGCATTTATCTAATTTGAATTGCTTGAAATTTTATTTTTTCGTTCTGTTTTTTAAGGGAAGAAGTAAAAGAGCAACTAGAAAAGAAAAAGAAAGGCTCCAAGGCTTTGGCTGAATTTGAAGAAAAAATGAATGAGGTTTGTAAAAAGTACCTGTTAAAAAAAAGACTAATTTGGCCAGTTATGGTGGCTCACACCTATAATTCCAGCACTTTGGGAGGCCAAAACGGGAGGCCAGGAGTTCAAGACCAACCTGGGCAACAAAGTAAGACCGCCCCCACCTCACCGCCTTTTCTCCATTTAAAAAAAAAAAAAAAATACCCTAAGTATTTGGGTGTAGCTCTCTCAGTTAAAGAGGTTCTGTATTTTAGAAGTGTTACTGTTATAGTGAATACAAGTTTATATTTATGTGGATGCTTTAAAAAATAGAGAATAATCATCTTGTAATATAAGTCATCTAAGACTTGGATAACTTGGATTCCAAGTTAGGGTTGAGCAGTCCTCCCACTTCAGCCTCCCGAGTAGCCGGGACCACAGTTGCAGGCCACTATGCCCAGCTAATTTTTTTTATTTTTAATAGAGACAAGGTCTCACTATGTTGCCCAGGCTGGTCTCCAACTTCTGAGCTCAAGCGATCTTCCCGCCTTAGCCTCCCAAAGTACTATGATTACAGGTGTGAGCCATTATACCCAGTCTGTTTGCTTGTTTTGATTACAAACATGTATATATAACGTATCAATCACAGTAGTGATTAATTCAACTTTTACAGACTAGACGGAGAATCTAGCCATCTTTGTTGAAAAGAGACCTCAGCTTCAGTAATAATACCTGCTCCTCAATAATACAGAACCCCTATCCCTTAATATGCTCTTTGAAAAGAGCTGGTAGAAGGTCCTTTGGTGATAGGGTCAAGGATTGGCACCTGTGTTTCTTTTACTGTAATTAGAAGCTGAGATGGGTGAGAGGTATTAGAGGATGGAGGGAAGGAAGCAGTGGCTGTCTCTGTATATTAGGTGTATTAGAAACGATAGATAGCCTCTGATCGTGTTTATAACCTTTTTGCAGAACTGGAAGAAAGAACTGGAAAAACACAGGGAGAAATTATTAAGTGGAAGTGAGAGCTCATCCAAAAAAAGACAGGTAACACCACTTTTAGTTTATCGCTATTCTTAATCTCATAGTTGGATTTTCATAATAATGCTGTATACTACTGTTAATAGATGCATTTGGAAACTCACACCAGCTTATTTAGACTTGTACTTTTGTTTCCATTTAGAGAAAGAAAAAAGAAAAGAAGAAATCTGGTAGGGTGAGCAAAAGTTTTCCATTTTTCTAAATGTTACAATTAAGAGCCAACAAAACAAGTAAGAATGATTTGTTTAACTTGTATGCTAAAGGTAACTTAAACTCTAGATGAGTCAAGGAACTTAGAGGTTCTTTGATTGTGAAGAGTGGTTTTGTTCTGTCACTGATACAAAAAAAGGTGCCAACCACCTTATAACCTAGTAAATTTTCTGTTGCTATTTAAAGAGAAAGATTGGTGACCATGGCCACATATGTTAAGTTGTTGAGCTTTTGTACAGGGAACAAGTGTGACATTTTATATTTTCATATTTATGACATGAATATGGCATCTGTTTCTCAGACACTAGATTGATTTCACTAAGTATTTGAGAGACTTTGTAAAAGAAAAAAATTCTCGCGTCTCACAAGCTTTAATTGTTTTGTGCTTGGTCAAGTATTCATCTTCTTCTTCATCAAGCTCTGATTCTTCCAGCAGTTCTTCTGATTCCGAAGATGAGGTAAGGTTTGCTTATAATGGTTCATGAAATAATATCTCTTAATTTCTTTAATGTCAAGTGGAAACCCATTGTGAAATATCTGTTAGAAATGTTGACTTTCAGGTTTTGATTTAATTATCCATAACTTAGAGGACTAACATGAATGAGCGGTAACTAGAAACTTAACTATTGGTATATAATGTATTTTTTAGATTTTAAAATTTGTTTTGTTGACTTAAAACTATCAGTAGAAAAAAATTTAAAAAATCAAGTGCTATTTGACTAGATGCTAGGCATTACATGTGATTCAAATCACTTGATCTTTATAACAGGAAAGTGATGTATTAAGAAAAAAGTATAGAAACTGATCCTTTCATTAAATTTTGTTCACTGATAAAAGTTTTATATTAATAAATGTGTAAATTAGATTTTTGAGACAGAAAGCAAATGTTTCTAAAAATATTTCATGTAGGATAAGAAACAAGGAAAACGGAGAAAGAAAAAGAAGAACCGTTCACATAAATCTTCTGAAAGCTCCATGTCAGAAACTGAATCAGACAGTAAGGTAAATTATTCAAATTATTAATATATTGGATACAAAGACATTTAATTTTTTCTTCCTACCTTAAGTTGCTCTCAATTTAAAAATAAGATAGTCTGATATTTGTACTTTGATGTTCTATGCCGCTTAATTGATGTACTTGATAATATCTTGCATGTGACATTTAATAATTTTTCAAATGCTTTCATATATATATCTCCATGTCTCCACATTTCCATGGCCACTGACATTATTGTCCTTGTTTTCATAAAGCCAAGTTAGAGTTCAGATAAAAAGCATTGGCTTTAAATGATACAGCTGAATTAGAATTAAAAGTTGAATCTTTATCTTCTAAAATCTGGTCCAGTGTCCTTTCTACTATACTATACCTAAATTTATTCTGTACTAACCAGAATTATCAGACACACAGTTGGCTTTCAAACATAAAGGGTCAGAAAAAAGTTAAAAAGTTCTCAAAAAAAAGTGTTGATTCCTGAGCCCTGTCTCCGGAGTCTGATACAGTATCTGATTACAGTTGGAAACCTACATCTGTAACAGATGGCTTGTGTGATTCTGATACCGGGGTGTGTATGGACCATAGTTTGACAAACACTATACTAGAGTCTCAGGAAACCAAAGCAGCTGTCTGCATTTATAACAGATAGCTGCTTGCCCCTGTGAGAGATCTTCTGGCAAAATACCTGGCATCTAGAAAGTACTCAGTAAATGTTGGTTTTCTCTTTGTCTTTTAAAGCAGAAGAGTCAGTCTCATGATAATGATGGCTAACATTTATTGAGTGCCTACTATGTGTTAGGCACAATTCTAAGCACTTAATTTATTAACTCATTTAATCTCAACAACTTTAGAAAGTAATTTGGTAATCTATGGACAAAGTGGATAAGGAAACCAGGCTCAGGAAGATTAATAGCTAGAACTCAAAGGATTCAAAAGAAGAAATTGTTGCCTTCTCAAGTTAGAGTACAACTCCAGTGCATGTGACCACCATAAGCACACAGTCTATGGCACGAAGTTCTATTTTAAAGTAAGCTGTGTGGGTATTACAGACAATACTTTAAGAGTAAATTTGGTATACAGCCAGATAAATAAAGAAGCCTGTTTGCTTACAAGCAAATGCATATATAACGTACATTTCTCTTAAATTTTCAGAATAATATTCTGGGATTGGAGTAGCCTTTTTTCAGTCATAGAGCAAATCACTTTTTGGGTATTTTTGTCCTTGTTCTATAATGCTGTGTCCTTAGCATTTAAAATTGATAACTACATTTCTTTGTTTAGGATAGTTTAAAAAAGAAAAAGAAGTCAAAAGATGGAACTGAGAAAGAAAAGGTAACTATACTCTTACATTGCCTTAAGATAGTCTGTCATATAATACTTAATTGACTTAAAGAAATAACAATAATGTGTACCTCTTTTTAATTTAAGACATGTATTTATTTCATTTTTGTAATATTTTATTTCAATTTAAAGCAATTTTTAATTTGGATTCATTATTGAAGCTAAAGGATCAAAAGAGTATTCTAGGCCGAGAATTTGAATTTGTATAGATTAATGGATTATCTCAGATTAAAAATACAAAATAATGCAGATGAGCAGATTAAACATTTCTTTTGATTTCTTTTTTTCTTTTTCTTTTGAGATGTAGTCTTGCTTTGTCACCCAGGCTGGAGTACAGTGGTGCCATCTCAGCTCACTGCAACCTCTACCTCCTGGGTTCAAGTGATTCCCCTGCCTCAGCCTCCCTGTAGTTGGGACTACAGGTGTGTGTCACCACGCCCAGCTAATTTTTGTATTTTTAGTAGAGACGGTTTTGCCATGTTGGCCAGGCTGCTCTCAAAACCCTGACCTCAGGTGATGCGCCTGCCTCGGCGTCTCTGCGCTCGGCCCATTTCCTTTGATTTCTTAAATCATTTTGAAGAAGGCCCTTCCAATTAAAGAACATTAATTTCTCTTTCAAATTGAATATACTATAGATAAATATTGAAAAATCTTCTTACTATTGTAAATAGATGTTTTACCCTCATTTATAACTTATCTGTATAGTTAAAGCAGAATTTATGCCCATCTTAATTTCTGGTTTACATTTTAAATTGTTATTCTGGTTATTAAAAATAAAGAAAAACCTAAAGAGGGCAATAATAAAACTATAGACCCGTGTCACTATTTTTTTACTCAGAATTTATATTTTTTTAATGATAGAAAATGAAACTGAAATTCAGTTTGAGTTTTATTTAATATACCATGGTACACAATGGTATATACCATATACAATGGTATATTATGTGCAGTTCACATAATATAACGTTGACATTTTAAAGCTAAAATTCATTATTAGTTAACATATTTACAGTGTTGTGCAACCACCATCTCACATTTCAAAACTTTCATCACTCCATAAAAACACTCCATATCCATTAAATAATCACCACCACTCCCTTATTCTCTGGTAACCTCTAATGGGCATTCTGACTATGGATTTGCCTATTCTGGATTTATCGTATAAAAGCAGTCATACAATATGCAACCGTTTGTGTCTTTCAGCTAGCATAGTATTTTCAAATTTCATCCAAGTTGTATCATGTATCAGTACTTTGGTTTTTTGTATGGCTAAATAATATTCCATTTGTGTGTGTGTGGCGGCGCGGGGGGAGCTGATTTCTCTGTCCATTCATTTGTTGATGGACATTTGGTTTTGTTTCTACCTTTTGGCTATTATAATGATGCTATGGACATTTATAAACACAAGTTTTTGTATGGATGCATGTTTTCATTTCTCTTGGGTATATGCCTAGGAGTGGTTTACATAACAATTTGCAAATAAAAATTAATTTTAAATGTTTTTTAATTAATTTTTAAAATTAACCAGGCGTGATGTAGTCCTAGCTACTTGGGAGACTGAGCCCACAAGGTCATACCACTACACTTTATCCTGGGAGAGAGACTGAGACCCTGCATCTAAATTTTAAAAAAATAAAATTTAATTTAAAAACACACTTAGAAAAGAAACTATAATGACCAATTCCAAGAATTCAAGGATAATTTATTAATATGATTTGCCATATTAACTGATCAAGGAAAGAAACCATATTATTATTTCAGGAGTTGCCGGAAGGACGTGATGTAATTCAGCATTAATTCCTGATTTTCAGAACAATTATAAAATAAGTGGTTACCCTGTTTAAAAAAAAAAAAAACAAAAAAGTGTGTGTGAAATTAAATCTGGTAACGTAGAAACATGAAATATTAAAACTGAACTGCAATTTTTAAGTACTGAAAATATTAGATACAGAGTGATATACACACATATAATCAACAAATATTAATATATTTACCAGCTGGAATTAGTAAATGATTTATATTGGCTTCAGGTCTTGTTTTATGTAAAAAAAAAAGAAAAAAGAAAAAAGACTGGGCACAATGACTCATGCTTGTAATCCAAACACTTTGGGAGGCTGAGGCAGGAGGATCACTTAGTTTCTCCTGAGACTGAAGTGGGAGGATCACTTAAGCTGAGAAATTGGAGGTTACAATAAGTTGTGATCATGCCACTACACTCCTGCTTGGATGACAGAGTAAGACTCCTATCTCTTTTAAAAAAAAAAAAAAAAAAAGTCCCCAAACTATCATTTCTTCCTTTGAGGTAGCTGATCCTGAAACTAGTGCATGTCTTTCCCATCCACATTTATATACTTTTATTACATTAGTATGTGTTCATAAATAACAGAATATTGTGTGTGTGTGTTTTTTTGTTTTTTTAGTTATACCTATGGAATGGGAAGAATATTGTGTATTATCAAAATGGTATCATTGTGTTTCCTTCTGAAACTTGTTTCTTTTCATTCAGCATTACTGTTGACATCTATCCTTATTGATACTTTCAAGTTTTGTGTTTTTTGTGTTTTTTTTTGCTTATGGTATTCTACTGATTAATCCACCACAAAGTATTTCTTCATTCTCCTTTTTATGGACATCTAGATTGTTTTAATTTTTCAGTAATGCAAACACTGCTGCTGTGGATATTTCTTACCCATTTCTTCTTTTACTGTTTTTTTTTTTTTTTTTTTCCCCCGAGACAGAGTTTCGCTCTGTCACCTAGGCTGGAGTACAGTGGTGCAATCTCAGCTCACTGCAACCTCTGCTTCCCGGGTTCAAGCGATTCTCCTGCCTCAGCCTCCTGAATAGCTGGGATTACAGGCATGTGCCACCACACCGGGCTACTTTTTTGTATTTTCAGTAGAGATGGGGTTTTACCATGTTAGTCAGGCTGATCTCGAACTCTTGATCTCGTGATCTGCCCACCTCAGCCTCCCAAAGTGCTGGGATTACAGGTGTGAGCCACTGCGCCCAGCCAGTTACTGTTAATTTTCTAAAGGATACTTTGGACTGTAATTTCTAAGTTCTAGGATATACATTTAACTTGTGAACATTTTGCTTGCCCAAGTGCTTGTTACTTTGCATTCTTGCTAGTGTGTAAAAATACCCTTGTTTCACATACTTGTCAACCCAGGGAGATGTCATTATTGCAAATTTAATGTATACAAATGGTGGAGCTTCTTAACTTGTTTATTAGCCATTCATATTTCATTTTCTTTGCATTGCTTTTCATAGTCTTTGCCCATTTTTCTGTTGGAAAGAAACAACATTTTCTGGTTCATGGCATCTCTTTACGTGGTTTTTGTGTCTATTATAATTATATGAAGTCTTTAATTTTAAGTCACATAATCATTGTTTTAGCCCCTTTATTATTTAAAATTGTTCTGAAAGTGCTGATAATAAAATACTCAATTAGAAAATACAGTGGAAGAAAATATCCCATTTATAGTAGTAACCAAAAAACTGTAGGAAAATTTTAAAGAAGTAAGCAGTACTTATTTGAAGAAAACTATACAAGTCTATTCAGAGACATATATGAAGATTGAATAAATGGAGAGTCATAACATGTTCCTGGGTATAACTTGCCATACTGGATATTAACACATTATAAGAATGCTTTAATTAACATAGTACAGTACTAGTACAGGAATAGACAAAACAGTGGGACAGTGTAGAGTCCAGGTCAAAATTCGAGAATTTGTGGAATGTGGTAATATGATAAAGATGGCATTTCTTGGAACAAAATGACTAATCATTTGGAAAATATAAAGCTGGCCACTACATAAAGCCAAATCCCAGACAGCCCAGAGATTTAAATGTATGAAAACGCAACTAGAGAAAGGGTGAATATTACAATACTGGAGTGAGGAAGGCTTATGCCTCAAAACTCAGAAGGTTTTGACCATATATTTCAAATTCTGAATGGCAAAAACTGATTGCAAAAATTAAACTGTGAACAAAGTTTAAATACCATGAACAGACTAAGAAAAACTTCTAAGAATATATAACACAAAAAATTAATGCTCTTTAATAAGGAAAAAAGAATACCACACATACACAGACAAAGAAAACACAAACTGTATTCTCTGATACGATTGATAAAGAGCCTGAGAGGGAGGCTTCTTGGTAAAGTGTGATTCATAAATGGGTGACAGACAAATTTTGGACACGGTGGGAGAAAAAGATTATCGTTTGTGTGAAGGCTATGTTGGTCTTTGATTTAGTCGTCATTATTAAAGAGTTTGCACTCATGTACACTTCATTCTATTTCAACTTTGTTTTTAATAGCAAAGAGTCCATATTCCTGCCCTCCAGAAGGAGATGGGTTAAGTAAATTTGGCATTTTCATGAATGTTAAATGCAGCCATAAATGATGTTGTAGTTGGCATGGAAAGATATTATTGGGTGAGAAGAGCATGTTCCAAACAGCAAGTATTCATGTAATATTGTAAACATACACGTAGAAAGATGTTTCCAAAAATCTTAATTGTGTTTAATCTCTGGTAGTGGGATTTGAGTCCATTTTCTTACAATTAACATTTAACATTTCAGCCAAAATAACAATGCTGTTTGCAGAAACGAAAGGAAGTCTCCTATAATCTAGGCCATAGAGAGATCATCACTGTTAGTTTATTTCTGCATTTTTGTCTTCAAAATTAGACTCATGCTATATAAAAAATTTTATATCCTGAATTTTTTTATGTAAGATTAGGTGGTGAACACTTTTTCCATTGTGTAGTTTTGTTTTTGTTATGAACTACTTCAGATATACAGAACAGTGCTATGAAAAATAATAAAATGATAACCAGCATATCCACTATGCAACTAATAAATCTTAACATTTTGTTATACTTGCTTTGGGTGTTGTCATAATTTTTTATTTCTTCAAATACATATTTAAGCCCCTAAGTACTACTCCCAATCTCAGTGCCCTCTCTTTCTCCAGAGTTACTCACTTTTTCAACATTAAAAATACTAAGAGTTTAAGATTTTTTTGGCCGGGTGCAGTGGCTCATGTCTGTAATCCCAGCACTTTGGGAGGCCAAGGTAGGTGGATCACGAGATCAGGAGATCGAGACCATCCCGGCTAACACGGTGAAACCCCGTCTCTACTAAAAATACAAAAAAACATTAGCCGGGCGTGGTGGCAGGCCCCTGTGGTCCCAGCTACTTGGGAGGCTGAGGCAGGAGAATGGCGTGAACCTGGGAGGCGGAGCTTGCAGTGAGCCGAGATCACGCCACTGCACTCCAGCCTGGGTGACAGAGCAGGACTCTGTCTCAAAAAAAAAAAAAAAAAAAAAAAAAAATTTTTTTAAACACATATTTACATTTAACACTTTAAATGCACTAAAGGAATTACTATGTAGAGATTCTTTTAGATCATTGCAAATAATTACCCGTTTATTTTCTTTTCTGCAGTACTAGGCCTATCTAATCCAATCCTGCATAGAAACAAAAGAATTAAAATGCAAAGGAACCAAATCTTACATCATCTGCATGGTTTCATATGACTGTTTAAAAGTCTATTCTGTATAATTTAAGAAAATAAGGTGGATATTACATCTAAATGGATATGTAGTTACTTCTTTTCAATTTATTTAATATTGCTTTAGTGGAATTAAAGACAAATCCTCATAAATGTTACAATTTTTAGACATTCTAAAATAAAAATGGGTAATTGTAATAATTAGAAGAATTAAATAGAACTTAGAAACATAAAATGTATGTGACAAAGTGTATCTTTTTGAGTCAAGATAAATGTATTTATTTTTCATAGGATATTAAAGGACTCAGTAAAAAGAGAAAGATGTATTCTGAAGATAAACCTTTATCATCTGAGTCCTTGTCAGAATCAGAGTATATTGAGGAGGTAAGTATATGATCAAATCCATTTTCTCTATTTCAAAATGTTTAGTAATTGATTTAATATGACTTAGTAAAAAGAAATACTTCATATTTAATTTATTCACCTTTCTAGTATGAAAAAAAGAAAGTTATTTCATTTCAGAATGAGTTTTGCTTTTTTCCAGAAGATAATTATCTATTATTTTTTGTAATTAACCATATTTCCACATACCTTTCCGATCTCAGATATTTTTAGTCTTCTAATATTTTCTTTTTATTGTGCTACCATTCTTATTACATGAAAGAAACTGTGTAACATACAACATGTTGAAACCCAACATTCTCTTACATTGTTAAAATAGAATATTACATATACTATCTCAGTTTAGTTGATACTATTTAGTTGTGTTTTGAGCTACTTTTCGGGGCATAGAAAGGTGATTAAGTGGAGAAGAAATGTTGGCAGGAAACATATATTACTTAGTTGTGAGAACTAAATGAGATGATAAATTACGAAAGGCATTGCATCATACCTGAGACAGAGTAAATGGTGGCTAAAGGTTGCATAATTCTTGGTGTTACACTAAAATCTAAGCCAAGTTTGCCCTAGAATCACTTATCTTTAAAACTGTAGCTTTCTTTGGCAATCAACATGTTTAATCCACCAATGGTATAATCTAAAAGAGTTGAGGATCTTACCCTTGCTTACAAGGGGTGGTCGCAGATTGCAACAAGAGCTGGTTTTTGTGATTCCTTAGTTGTTTCCGTATTAGCCTCCTCCTGTATCAGTCCTGCCCAGCTCTGTCTGTCTACTGTATTCCTCATCTCCCCATTCCCTAAGTCTTGCATTCTTGTTTGTTTGTGCCTCTCTCCTTTCTGATTTCATTGTTCTTGGTCTGCAACAGTGGCGCTTGGTCCTGTAAGATCTGTTGCCCCCATTTTATAGCAGTGTCTTGTAATTGCTCCTGAAATGAAAGCTAACGCTGAGGCAAGAAGGTTGCTTGAGCCCTGGAGTTTGAGGCTGCAGTACACTCTGATCCCACCTGTGAATAGCCACTGCACTCTAGCCCAGGCGACATAGCAAGACCCCATCTCTAAAAAAATAATAATGATAATAATGTGTAATTTTATGAAATTGTATTTCAGTGTAAATGCTAGAATGCCATAACACCAGGCCAGGCACAGTGGCTCGTGCTTATAATCCCAGCACTTTGGGAGGCTGAGGCGGGTGGATCACCTGAGATCAGGAGTTCCAGACCAGCTTGGCCAGCATGGTGAAACACCATCTCTGCTAAAAAAAAAAAAAAAAAAAAAAAAAAAAATTAACCAGGTGTGGTGCCTGTAATCCCAGCTACTCAGGAGGCTGAGGTGGGAGAATCACTTGAACCTGGGAGGCGGAGGTTGCAGTGAGCCAAGATCACACTATCACACTCCAGCCTGGGCAACAAGAGTGAAACTCCATCTTAATCAATCGATCAATGCAATAACACCAGAAGACATAGAATCTTAAGAAAAAAACAAAATGCAGGCTCTAGCAGGTGTATTACATATGCCCTTCAAAAACCATATGGTGGCATTATCTTAAAATGTATCTTAAAATCCTGGGTGCAGTGGCTCAGCCTCTTGTGGCACCTGTAATCTCAGCAATTTGGGAGGCTGTGGCAGGAGAATCAGTTCAGACCAGGAGTTCACGACCAGCTTGGGCAACATAACGAGACCCTGTCTCTTTAAAAAAAATTTTTTTTTTTTTTTTAAATTTAGTTTCTGGGCCGGGTGTGGTGGCTCACGCCTGTATCCCAGCACTTCGGGAGGTAAAGGCAGTTGGATCACCTGAGGTCAGGAGTTAAAGAGCAGCCTGGCCAACAGGGCAAAACCCTGTCTCTACTAAAAATACAAAAATTAGCCAGACACGGTGGCACAGGCCCGTAATCCCAGCTACTCAGGAGACTGAGGCAGGAGAATCGCTTGAACCAGGAAGGCGGAGGCTGCAGTGAGCCGAGATCGCACCACTGCACTCCATCCTGGGCAACAGAGCGAGACTTTGTCCAAAAAAAAAAATTAGTTTCTGTGTTGTAAACAGGTTCATCATGTGAATGTTTAGCAGGCTATTCAAAAGCTGTGGAGGATGTACAGGGCTGTTCAGGACATGGCGTGACAGCATCCCTCATCTCTGCCTGGCTAAATATAGATGCAGTACATCTGTCACCCTTAGTCATTGTAATAACAAGAATAACAATAAAAATATTGTTTCCTAGGTGCTCGGTAAAAAGAGCTAGTGAGTTAGTGATCTCTGTTGTGAGCTTGTGATCTCTAATGCTTATGTGTTGTATTTTTTTTAGTCCTTATGCTTTCTTTTATTGTTGATTGCATTTTAATGTATTTGTGATGTATTTAATATTGTCACTCAGCAGCGAAACCATACAATTCAACATTAGGCAAATTTATAAATATTTGTTTTATATGTAATGTATTAGTATTGTATTATGTTTGTCTGCTACATGGTAGCAAGTTTAATATGAAATATCTTACATTTGGGCTTAACATGTAATATGAAAGCTTATGAAAGCTTTGACAACTTTCAGTTTATTTATTTTTATTTTTTTAGAGGTAGGTTCTTGCTCTGTCGCCCAGGCTGGAGTGCAACAGTACAGTCATAGATCACTGCAGCCTGGAACTCCTGGGCTCAAGTGATTTTCCACCTCACCCTCCCAAGTAGCTAGGACTACAGTCACATGCCACCATACCCCACTAATTTTTAGCAAAAATTTTTTTGTAGAGGTGGAGTCTTAACTAGGTTACCGAGGCTGGTCTTGAACTCCTGGCCTCAAGCAATTCTCCCACCTTGGCCTGTCAAAGCGCTGGGATCACAGGCACGAACCACTGCTCCCTGCCTCAGTTTAGTTTAAATCCAGTGTACCACACTCAAAAAGATTGAAATAAAATATAAATGGGATGATAATTCTTTCTTAGAATTTTAAGCTGTTGGCTTATACTAACTACACTGAATATAGAGCTACCATTTGTTGAGCACCATAGAGTGAGAGATATACCTGCTGTATTTTAGGCACTTCCCCTTGAGGGTGGATATTATCTCCATTTTACAGATGTTGAGAGTAAGATAGGATTCAGACATTAATCTGTCTCATTTCAGAGCTGATTTTTTTTTGCCTGTTTTGAGACAAGGTCTCACTCTGTCACCCAGGCTGGAGTGCAGTGGCGCAAACAGGGCTCACTGCAGCCTCAACCTCCTGGGCTCAAGTGATCCTCCCACCTCACCCTTCCAAGTAGCTGGGACTACAGGCACATGCCACTGTGCCCAGCTATTTTTTTTTTCCCCCTTGGTAGAGATGAGGTACTCTCACTATGTTGCTCAGGCTAGCCTTGAACTCCTAGGTTCAAGCAAGCCTCCTGCCTTGGCCTCCCAAAGTGCTGAGATTATATGTTTTTTATTGAAACCTCGTTGAGATGTAACAGGAGTTATTTTAAATGTCCTGTGATTGTCAAAACGTTTTTTACATTTAAATTTTGAAGATGCAAGATAGAGAATGAAAGAAAAATGCTTTGAGTGCAAATTACATGTTTGTCTTCTGTTCTCCACAAAAATTAAAACTTTCTAGGTGCGAGCAAAAAAGAAGAAAAGCAGTGAAGAACGAGAAAAAGCAACAGCAAGTATCTCTTAACATTTTTACAGACAATAGCATAGGTGTTTTGGTTTAATATAAAATGAGTCATGGTAAAGCTTGATTGGATTTACTGGGACCAAATAAGTATTTGTTGGGAAAGGTGTGGTGTGTTCAGCAGCTTCACTTAATGGGTAGGAGAAAGTCAAAATGGTTCATGAAAAATAAAAAATGCCCTGGTAGCAAGCATGTCCTGTTTCCATTTCAGTATTTTACTGTTAGAAATATAAACTCAGGGCCGGGCGTGGTGGGTCACGAGGTCAGGAGATCGAGACCATCCTGGCTAACACGGTGAAACCCTGTCTCTACTAAAAACACAAAAAAATTAGCCCGGCGTGGTCACGGGTGCCTGTAGTCCCAGCTACTCGGGAGACTGAGGCAGGAGAATGGATGAACCCGGGAGGCGGAGCTTGCAGTGAGCCTAGATCACGCCACTGCACTCCAGCCTGGGCGACAGAGTGGGGCACGGTGGCTCACACCTGTAATCCCAGCACTTTGGGAGGCCAAGACTGGTGGATCACGAGGTCAGGAGTTCAAAATCAGCCTGGCCAATATGGTGAAACCTCGTCTCTACTTAAAAAAAAAAAAAAAATACAAAAATTCGCTGGGCGTGGTGGTGGATACCTGTAATCCAGCTACTCAGGAGGCTGAGGCAGGAGAATCGCTTGAACCTGGGCGGCAGAGGTTGCAGTGAGCTGAGATCGCTCCACTGCACTCCAGCCTTGGCAACAGAGCAAGACTCCGTCTCAAAAAAAATAAAAAAGAAGAAATATAAGCTCAAATTTCTGTTTGACTTTCTTAAGCTACAATATGAAATATGAGAAACCAAAGGTATGGTGATTTCCGTTATCTTTGATAATAGTTACTTTCAAATCAGCCAAATCTGGTAATAACAGAAAAAGCCTCTCCAAGCACTAGCTGCAATGAAAAAATAAGAATATGACAACATAAATTACTCATTAATAAAGATTATTTTGATAGTTTTTAAAGCCAAACTCTGCTATTAATGCAAATTGAGAAGAAAAGAGAAAGAAGAGGCAAATTAAGGAAAATAGAAGTAGTATCCAAATAAGAAGGAGATCAACCAAGAGAAAATGGTTAACAGATTATTTTCAAAGAGTAATGCAAACAATATCAGCAAAGTAATTTAGGGGGCCTCAGTATAAATGTGAGCGATGACCTTTGAAGGCATTTTCTTAGGGAAAGGCGAAAGAAAAACGAAAACATCATCATTGGTAGGTTTGAGTAACCCCTTCCCAGAATTTCCCTGACTATTCAAATGAGGTACCTTCTCTGATAGGAAGGCTCACCTAGTAATGATTCAGAAATAACATTTTATATGCTCCAAGCCTACGATGACAAATAAGGTTTTTTTTGTTTGTTTTTTCTGAATGTGAAAGTAGTTTGGGTGAAGATAGCTTTGGTCTGTGGTTCAGATTAATTAAGACATAACCACATTAGTATTTGCATACTTTCACGTTTCTATGCTTTCAGCTAGTTGTGTATGTATGAAGCATTTCTATGCAGGCACTTAGTCTTAAGAGTATAATGGAGTACAAGATAGAAGAGTATGATACGTGAGAGAGATACTGTGGGGAGGGGCTCATGAAATCCTCACTGAGGAAGTGAAATTAAGCTGCAATCTGATTTATAAGAAAGAGCCAACCACATGAAGATCAAAGGAAAGAATATCCTAGGCAGAGGGAAGAGCTCTTAAGGACCTATCGTGAGAATAAGCTTGTTATATTTGAGGGACTAAGAGAAGGTAAGTGGCTTAATGCCATACAATGCCATACAGTGAGGGTAGCAAGTAAGCAGAGGCTTACTTACATTACACAGCAGAGTGTGTTTTCATCAGAATGTTACAAGAAGCTGTTCTGAGGATTTTAAACAAAGGTGACTTAAATATTTTACATTTTGTAAATGCTTTGGTACAGGAGATAAGTGGGCACAAGTGAGGAATGACGTTTGTACAGCAGTGATAGTAATGGAGTTGGACTGGCAAGGATGGATTTGAGATATATTTTGGACTTAGATGGTAAGACTTCCTTGGTGCTTTGAATGTGGACATTGGAGTTAAAGCAAAGAGCAGAATCAAAGATAGCTTAGATTCTTTGACTTAAGCAAAATGACAGATAAGTAGTGCCAGTTACTAAGATGGCTGAGGATTTGGAGAGAAAAATGAAGCATTTTGTTGTGGTAATTTCAGATATGCCTACCAGACATCCCAGGTAGAGCTGTTAATGAGGCACTCACAGTCCTGAGGTCAAAGTGTAGGACTGCATATAAAGATTGGGGCTTCATTGGTGTTTAAGTGGAAAGTAAAGCATGTGACTGGAAGAGTATGTGGAAAACAACGGAAGGAAGCCCCAGAAAAGCCGAGTAGAGGAAGAAGAGCAGGCAAAGGAAATGAAGAGGTCTTAGTGATAGAAGAAAACCAGCAGAGAGGTGTCATGGAAGCTAAGAAGAAAATGATTTTTAGAAGAGAGTGCTCAGCTGTCCTTTTGTGGGGAAAAAAAAAAGCAATCTGTACCCAAAACTTAGTTTTAAAAGCCCAAATTACAAGATTTTGGAAAGTTCCCTATGTACTTCAAACATGTAGTGAAAAAAGAATGATGAAAATTAGCTTAGTGCCACAGAGTGGTAGAGGCCTTTGAGAGAGGGGAGAGTAGGTAGTGCTGATAGATAGGAAATGGATAGGAAGCTCTGCTGTTACCATCCTTATAGGTCTCTTCTCCTTTCTTGCTTTTCATTTTCTTCTCTTGAATATCAATACACTAGCAGCAGTTGGTACCACCTTTCCAAAGTATCTATGTTTCTAAAAGTTCTGCCTTCTGTAACAGAAATAGGAGAGTCAGACTTCAACAAAACTCCAGCTCCCTTCAGTTCACTCAGTTAAACTACTTTTACCAGGCTTTAGTGGCATTTTCTTCTAAAAATCAGACATCTGTTTTGCTTAACAAAATAAACTTTTTAACTATATATTGATACTTTGTACTAATTAGTTGATCTTAATTTAATAATTTAATTTAATAATTACAACAACTTCAATTCGTGCTGCCAGTCTGAGCAGTACACAATACCTGTGTTCCTATTTACTTAAAACTAGCAAATTTAATATTTCTGTTCTGTCTGAAAACTGTCTTACAAAAACAATTATGTTTTTCTGTGGTTACTGCTTTTCAGTAACTGCAATTACTTTACCTTTAGAAGTTATATAGCATGAAATATAATGATTGGTAGCGTGATTCAATTGAATTTATTTCCTATAGGAAATTTTGTTAGAAGTTACGTTAATGTGCTAATGACTTAAGAGTTTCTCCCTATCTTTTTGAAAATCAACAAGAACTCTTTTAGTCCTCATATGATGCTGGTTGTTGACACTTTTCAAGAAATGTTTTGAGTAGTTTACTTGGTTGTCTGGATTGTTTGGAATTATATAGTAGCTTAGGAGAAGCATGGTAAAGATGCTTTTAATTTGCATATTTTTATATAGTAATGTATAACATGGAATTATCTTTACAGGAAAAAACGAAAAAGAAAAAGAAGCATAAGAAACACAGTAAGAAGAAAAAGAAGGCTGCTAGTTCAAGTCCTGACTCACCATAACATTAAAAAAAATCAGGATTCCCTTCTAAAGAAAGTGCAATGTCTGAGGAAATTTCAACTGTGAAAACTACAACATATTTACTAAAATGCATGAATTTTCTTGTTTTTAGAATTATTCCTGGACTATTCAGTAGCCACTCAGATGCCACTGTGTGAAAGGGCCATAAATGTTGCCTGCTGCTTGAACATCTTTTTTTTTTTTTCTTCCAGTGCTTGATAACTCTGGGAGATAAGACACTGCAGTCATACTAGTGGTTAAGATATTTGGGAATAAAATTAATACTTTTGACTAGAAGTGTCTAAGGATAAACCAACAGAAATTGAATCTGGATGTATCTTTAAGATGTAATCAAAAATGACCAGATGACTCTAGTTAAAATTTTTGAAGGAGGGATTACATTAATATTTTAAAACCCGGCCGGACGCGGTGGCTCAAGCCTGTAATCCCAGCACTTTGGGAGGCCAAGATGGGCGGATCACGAGGTCAAGAGATCGAGACCATCCTGGCTAACCTGGTGAAACCCCATCTCTACTAAAAATACAAGAAAATTAGCCGGGTGAGGTGGCGGGCGCCTGTAGTCCCAGCTACTTGGGAGGCTGAGGCAGGAGAATGGCGTGAAACCGGCGGGGCGGAGCTTGCAGTGAGCCGAGATCGCGCCACTGCACTCCAGCCTGGGGCACAGCAAGACTCCGTCTCAAAAAAAAAAAAAAAAAAAAAAAAAATATTTTAAAACCCTTACTCTGTAGATAAGTGTATTTTAATTTTTTCCCCTTGTATACTTTTATTTACCTGGGGAAGGAGCTTTTAGGGTTGGGGGGGTGGTTTGCTATCTCTTTAGCTAGCAGAATAGTGTGCCTTTGATCCTCACACATCCTATATTCTGGACACAGTAGCCATGCTTCACAGGGAGGTCAGAGCTGGCTACCAGCAGTCTTGCCCTTTACTGAGCTTAGTGTCATCCTTGGATGCTGTCATATGCTGCTTTCAGTGAACCAGAGAAACAGCCATTTGCAGCATGAGAAAGCCCCAAAAGCTCTGAGATTTACCTCCACTTCAGTAATAATGAAAATTTTTTAGCATTAGAATGTGTTATGTCATTTGAATTAATTTTGATTACACTTTGGCTTGGGAGAGGAATTATTTTAAATAGACACTGGTACTTTTTGAACTTGATAGCTAAAGATTCTAAAATGCATGTTTTATACTAAGTTTTAACCAGTCAGGAAAATTTTATGTAACCAGTGATAGTTTATTTTTTGTATGAATTTTGTTTAGGCTGCAATGTTTAGCTTTTGTTAACTCCTCACTCTTGCTGTTCATTACTATGTTTAATGGCCTACTTGCCAAGATATTTAGCATGTAAAAAGCAGGATTTTGATTTAAAAAAAAAAGGCTTCATATTGAAGCTGAGACTTACAATAACAAGTTGAGTGGCAAGCCTGGTATGCTGTGTCTTATTGCCAGAATCTTAGTAAATGTAATGTTTTAAAAGTTTGTTGTCTTTGTATATTAATAGCAAATTATGACAAGTTAAGTTTAAATAAGAGTTACATTATTGCTCTCCCTGTGTCATATTTTACTAAGATTTTGTGCCTCATATCTACTGCTGACTTGTTTACTAGGAATGTTAAAAGGAACTGATAATTCATTTTCATTTTACATTTTTATATAATCAGGTAACATGAAATACAACTTGATGTACAATTTTGCCTGTTACAAAGGATGTGCTAATTATAGTGGTATATGCACAGAACATGTTGGCATGACAACAGGCTGAATAAATAGCTATTTTACTTAAAAATAGCTGTGTTCTTATCAGCTCCCTTTGGACTGCAAGTAAACTTACACAGATAAGAAACACTCCTAGATGTTAAGCCTGAAATAAATAAGACATCCCTAAATTTTTAGCTATTAAAAAAACACACATCTTGGTTTCTTTAAATTTCATACTCAGAGGTGCATACTATTTCCTAATAAAAGGTATCTGTATGCTTTTGAATACACAGAAAATTTAAGGGACATTGTGCATCCAAAAGAAAGTTTCCTAGAATTGTTGTTTGTGAAAATGCCAGAAGATAAGTTGATCAGATCACATGGTCATCACTTTTGTTATGACACAGAACTGCAGATTTACAGACTAGTCCGTTATATAAAGATTATATTCCGCTAGAAGCAACTGTTCATTTTATTAGACTGGGGGAGAAGGTGATTTGGTGAAGAACGGTATTCTTTCCAGAATGTGTTAACTGTCTGGACAACACTTTTTTCTAGTCCTGTGTTGGTAGCCTTAACAGCCTCCTAACAAAGTATGGAAAGAAAAGAAAATTTGACAGAGTAATTTTATTTTTATTTATTTATTTTGTGTGTATGTGTGTGTGACAGGGTCTCTGTTTCCTGGACTGGAGTGCAGTGGTGTGATTTCAGCTCACTGTAGCCTTGACTCCCAGGCTTAAGTGATCCTCCCACCTCAATCTCCGAGTAGCTGGGACTTCAGGCGCACACCACCATGCCTGGCTAATTTTTTTTATTTTTTGTAGAGACGGGGTTTCACCATGTTGCCCAGGCTGGTCCCAAACTCCTGGGCTCAAGTGACCCACCCACCTCCGCCTCCCAAAGTACTAGGATTACAGGCATGAGCCACTGCGCCTAGCTGACAGAGTAATATTATCAGTTAGGTTTATTCCAAAGTTATTACCCCTGTGCAAATTACATCTCTTCCTCCCTTCCAAACTACCCTTTTTCTTGACAAACTTTACACCAATTTTTTACAAATAGAAGGCATGTTACTAGGATAACGGTACTGGAATAGCTGCTGTAAATCAGTGGATGTTCCAGATAGAAAAATTGGCTTTATACTCGTACTACCTCTTTGTAATTGTTTGGATTCCTTTAGCTGTCATTAGTATAGTTAGATGTTTTAAATACCATTAGAGTGTCCTGAATTTATTTTAACTAGAATACAGATTGACATTCCTTCAATCAAGATGTATTAAAAACCTATTGCTTAATTTTCTGACATTTCTTGGAGACCCATAGACAGGACTCATGGAAACCAAGTGAGAACAGCTATTCTTCAGACTTAAGTGACAGGGTTCATACTTTTTTTAAAATTGCCACTTTTTAACTTAAAGTCTATGAATACTCATCTATTTGCTTAAGAAAAGTTTTGAGAAACTTTTTTCCCCAAAACTGTATTTAATCATAGGTCACTGCATCCTTGACTTCCCAGGCTCAAGCCAGCCTCCCACTTCAGCCTTCCCAGTGACTGGAATCTGTGACAGGCATGCCCCGCCACACCTAGCTAATTTTTTTTTTGTAGAGACAGGATCTCCCTGTGTTGCACAGGCTGGTCTCAAACTCCTGGGCTCAAGCAGTCCTCCCACCTCGTTTTCCCAAAGTGCTGCGATTACAGGCATAGGCCACCACGCCCAGCCTTTGCCGTATTTTAAATTTGGGTTTTATATTTTATTTGAAAGTAAGAATCTAGTGCCCTAAATTGTAAAAATCACTTTAATACATTTTCTTGCCTTACCACAGTGAAGGCCAGCAGACATAGATTACGTGTTTGTTCTCTCTACCAGGATTTTACAATCAAGTTAGAACAGTTGACATTTTAGTCAACTTTGGCATAATCACACCATGTTATCCTACCAGTCAACCCAATCAAAGTTGGAGGGGTAAAAGTGAGTTTTTACATTTTTCTAGAAGCTCCCAGATAGAAGCGTTTGTTTGGATATCATAAAAGGGTGCTTGGTTAGAGTTTGGAGAAGGTTGTAACCTTTGAAGGAGCTGCTGATAGCCTGGGAAATTACTTCAGCTTAAAGAATAAGGTATTTGTGATTTTACTTAGTTGTTACGTGTTCAAATATGTTTTCAACTGTTCTGTTGGTGCTGAAGGAGTATAAATGATACCAAATACCACTTAAGTGGTGTTTAGCCCTGAAGAAAAATGTTGGAATTGCTATAAATTTTTAAATCACATTAGCTGGGTGTGGTGACTTGTGCCCGCAGCCCATACTTGGGTGGCTGAAGTGGAGGATGGATTGAGCCTGGGAAGCCGAGGTTGCAGTGAGCTATGATTGTGCCACTACACTTTAGCTTGGGCAATGTGACACAGCAAGACCCTGTCTAAAAAAAATAGGCCAGTCATGGTGCCTCAGGCCTGTAATCCCAGTAATTAGGGAGGTGGAGGTGGGTGGGTCGCTTGAGCCCAGGAATTCAAGACCAGCCTGGGCAACATGGCAAAACCCCATCTCTACAAAAAATGCAAAAGATAAGCCAGGTGTGGTGGTGCATGCCTGTAATCCCACATATTCACGAGGCTGAGGTGGGAGGATTGCTTGAGCCCCAGGAGGTGGAAGTTGCATTGAGCTGAGATGGCGCCACTGCACTGCATCCTAGGCAACGTGGCAGAGCAAGACCCTGTCTCAAAAAGAAAATAATAAAATTTTAGATCACAGAAACCTTAATGAAATTACCATATTCGAAGTGGTAGCAACCATTATTGCATACTTTTCCAGTTACTTGAGAACCTTCTGTGTTTGGTTGCTGGGATGTTGCCATGGTCACATTCCATGTTGGGATTGGAGTAGTGAACTGTGGAAACAGTGATAGCTCAGGATGCCCAGGCTTGAAGCTAGGCTATCTGGAAATTCTGGAGTGTGCTAAAGCCACACTGGACATGGACCAGACGGCTCTGAAGAAACTGGTAGAATCCATCAGTGAAACTGTCAAGAGCTGTAAGTACTGACCAGACTTCCAATGCTTCCTGAACATCTTGATTCACAGAAATGTTTAAAAAGCAAAAAGATGAGGATATATTTAAAAAAGATACAGGAGCCAACCTGAAAACTGCCAATGGCCAAGGCCGGAACAAGTTGAGCAACAAAGTAACATAGTATTCATAGGCGTCTTAGTCTATTTGGGCTTCTGTAACAAAATACCATAGACTGGATTGTTTATAAGCAACAGAAATGTAGTTCTCACAGTTCTGGAGGCTGGGAAGTCCAAGGTCGAGGCTGATTTGCTGTCTGGTAAGGAAGGGCCTGCTTTCTGGCTCATGGATGGCACTCTCTTGCTGTGTCCTCACCACAGTGGAAGAGACTAGCTAACCCTCTGGGGTCTCTTACTTTATAAGAACACTAGACCTAACTGCCGCTACCTCCCAAAGGCTACACCTCCTCATACCATTAGCTTGGGGGTTAAAATTTAAACCTGAATTTGGTGGAGGCCAGGGAGGGGCCTCAACAGACCATAGCAGTGTATAACCAGTGGTATAAAATAAATACATGTGACAATACTAATTAATAATAATAAATGGAAAAGAAAAATCTTCCTAATGGAAGATTTCTAAATAATAGTATAGATACCACTTCCCAGGGAGTGGAGCTTAATTCCCTTCTTGGGTGACCGGCTTCAAAAGAATAGATCGTGGAAAGAGAAAAATAGTAACTACCATGGAGAGAGCTGGCAGACTCTAGCTTAACCAAATGATCAAGTTTAACAACCATGGTGATATGTCATGTTGAGATCATGGTTCCCTTTACATGTGATTAGAGCAGCACTTTGCATCTGTGGTTTTATTCCCCAAAACACATGATCACAATCTAATCTTGAGAAAAACAGGCAAACACCCAGATGTGATGGCATGCACCTGTAGTCCTAACTACTGGGGAGGCCTTGAGGCAGGAGCATATTTTGAGCCCAGGAGTTTGAGGCTGCAATGAGTTCACGGCACTGCTCTCCCGCCTGGGACACACAGCAAGACTCCATCTCTTTAAAATAAAAAAGAAAAATATAAAAATATTTAAAAAAACAAAATGATGACCATTCCATTCTACAAAATAAATCCAAAACTGTCAGGTTCATGAAAGGCAAGGAAAGACTGAAAACTATCACAGGTTGGAGAAGGCATGACAACCGAATATGGTATCCTGGATTGAATTCTGAGATCAAAAAAAGAATGTTAGTGTAAAAACTGTGGAAATCCAATTAAAGTCTATAGTTAATAGTAATGTACCAATGTTAATACATTAGCTTTGACAAATGTACCATGGTTATGTAAGACATTAGCATTAGGGAGAAACTGGATGAAGAGTATATAGGAACTCTTTGTAATACCTTTGCATCTCTTATGTAAATCTAAAATTATTCCAAACTAAAATGGGTCAATTTCTATTATCTCAACACCATCCTCATTACTGACCCATGGTTTCTCAAATATCATTTACAATGGTTTCTTTTCTCCTTTTCTTTTTGAGACAGAGTCTCACTTTGTCATCCAGGCTGGACTGTAGTAGTAGTACAAACACAGCACACTGCAGCCTCAACCTCCCTAACTCAAGCCATCATTTCACCTCAGCCTCCCAAGTAGCTTGGGCCTACAGGTATGCGCCACCATACTCAACTAATTTTTGTATTTTTTGTAGAGATGGGGTTTCATTATATTGCCCAGGCTGGTCTCAAATTCCTTAGCTCAAGCAATCTGCGCAACTCTGCCTCTAGGAGTGCTGGGATTACAGGCGTGAACCACCATGCCTGGCCTTACAATGGTTTCTTGACCACATGTGAAAGGCCTTTAGATGTAATGAAACATGAGATACACTGGGAAAATTCAGGAAAAGTTAGCTTACTACTTGCTGAAGATTGTATCTAAAATCTTTGATTGCTTTGTTGGATGACTTGTCAACATTTGACTCTCAGAGAAGCTCCTGACTCTTATTCTTCCAATCTCTCTTTTCTCGGGCTTCCATGTACACACCACTATCGGTGCTAATATTTCCACACCACTGTTGGTGCTAACATTTCCACTCAGATAATAACTTTCTACCAGAGTGGAGCAGGGTCTCTTTCAGGCAAGCATTAATACACTATATTCTATATAATACATCTACACCTGAGCTTCCTTTTTCTTCATATTCCAAACAAGAAAAGACTTTCCAAGTTTTTATGCTCAAAGCAGCTGCATCCATTTTATGACCTAGCCTTGTAAATCACAGAGCCTCATTTTCACTATATTCTATTGGTTAAAACAGTCACAAAAAGCCCCCTAGTTTAAGAGAAGAAGACATAGACACCATTTCTCTAAGAGAGGAGTATCAAAGTCACATTGTAAGAAGAGCATATTCAATGGGATACATTGATATAATCATCTTTAGGAAAATACAAACTGCCTCATCAGGATTCAACATTAATAAGGTAGTTTCAAGAATCTACTACCAGGTGGCGAGGCACAGCAGCTCATGCCTGTACTCCTAGCCCTTTGGGAGGCTAAGGCAGGCGGATCACATGAGGCCAGGAGTTCGAGACCAGTCAGGCCAACATGGTGAAGTTCTTTCTCTACTAAAAATATAAAAATTAGCCAGGCATGGTAGTGGGTGCCTATAATCCCAGCTACTCGGGAGGCTGAGGTAGTAGAATCGCTTGAACCCAGGAGGCAGATGTTGCAGTGAGCCGAGATCGTGCCACTGCCCTCCAACCTGGGTGACAGAGCGAGACTCCATCTCAAAGGGAAAAAAAAGAAAGAAAGAATCTACTGCTAGGCCTGGCACAGTGGCTCATACCTATAATCCCAGCACTTTCGGAGGCCAAGGCAGGAGGACTGCATGAGCCCAGGAGTTGGAGACCAGCCTGGCCAAAATAGTGAGACTTCATCTCTACTAAAAATTTAAAAGTTAATGGCCTTTAGATGGAGCAACTTGGGTGGAGCAGGAGGCCATTATTCTAAATGAAGTAACTCAGGAATGGAAAACCAAATATTGCATGTTCTCATAAGTGGGAGCTAAGCTATGAGGATGCAAAGGCATAAGAATGATACAATGGACTTTAGGGACTCTGTGGGAAGGGTGGGAGGTGGGTGAGGGATAAAAGACTACATACTGGGTACCATGGACACTGCTCAGGTGATGAATGCACCAAAATATCAGAAATCACCACTGAAGAACTTATTCATGTGTCCAAAAACCACAGGTACCCCAAAAACTATCGAAATAAACTTTATAAAATTAAAATTAGCCAGACATGGTGGTGTGCACCTATAGTCCCAGCTACTCAAGAGGCTGAGGCAGGAGGCTCTCTTGAGCCCAGGAGTTCAGGACTGCAGTGAACGATTATCGCATCACTGCACTCCAGCCTGGGTGACAGAGAAAGATCCTGTGTCTAAAAAAAAAAAAAAAAAAAGCATAAAGTGTAATCTTTTTTTTTTTTTTTCAGACAGACTCTCACTCTTATTGCCCAGGCTGGAGTGCAATAATGCAATCTTGGCTCACCACAACCTCTGCCTCCCCAGTTCAAGCAATTCTCCTGCCTCACCCTCCTGAGTAGCTGAGATTACAGGCATGCGCCACCACGCGTGGCTAATTTTGTATTTTTAGTAGAGATGGAGTTTCTCCATGTTGGTCAGGCTGGTCCCAAACTCCTGACCTCAGGTGATCTGCCCACCTCAGTCTCCCAAAGTGCTGGGATTACAGGCATGAGCCACCGTGCCCAGTGACACTTTATGCTTTTAGAGACTGAAGGAGTCTCAGAGATCATCCAGGACAAAACCTAAGTGCTATAGGTGAGGGCAGAGAGGCGTAAGGAAGCTGTATGGCTTGTGTAAGTCTCTCAGCATCTAGCATGAGAAATGGAAGTGGAACCTAGCGGCTTACTAAGTCTTGTATCCCCAGCCCTCGAGTCCTGACAGTGTGTCAGACACTTGTGCACTTGTTCAAAACAGGATTTTACTAAGTCTGGAGTGAGAACCAGGTATGTGCATATTTTTAAATTTCCATTTGAACACTGCAGATCTGATCAGTCACAAAGCCTGAGTTTCTGCAGCATCTCAGGCTCCCTCCCCAGCTTTCTGTCTTTATTTCCACCTTTCTATCCCAAACCCTATGCCTCTAAGCCTGGCTTCCATGCTTCTAGCTTTCCTACTTCAATGGATTTTCCTAAACCACTTTTACTGTTATGCCCCTCTCCTGTTCCAAAATGTTCAGTGGCTTAACCCAAAGATTCTCAACTCCTAGGGCATAGAAGTTGTGCTCTTGTTCAAAAGCTAATTCCTGGGCCTGCTGTTAACAATTCTGGTTTAGCAGATTTGGGGCAAGTTCTGGGAAACTGCAAGCATGGGGCAGTGGAGAAGGGGTTAATTCTCATACAGATGGTACAAAATGATACCGATTCTGACACCTCTGACCAGGCATTGAAGGCCCTCCACCATCAGCTTATCCTCTTCAACCTTGCCATTCTCTTCTTACCAACTCCTTGCTATGCTCGTTATGCTCCCAGTAAGGCATGTTCTATTTCAATCCTAAAATTCTACCTCTTTCCTTTTACTCATGTTGTCCTCTTTTCCTAGAATTTTCCTCCTCTTTAACACCCTCAACACATTTCTTCCTACATAGATACTATGCCTCCTTCAAGGCTCAGCTCACAGTCTAGTTGTCCCAGGAAAATGGCCCAACTCCTTTCCCATACTGATTTTTCTTTCTTCACATGCCTATAGTGGTGAATGTTATCTTACATGATTTAGCAGCTGCGTACCGTCTCAGGAAATTTCTAAGTGAGGCCCACATTAATTGTGTAAGCTCTTTAGTAACTAGTCCATATCGTATATATTTTTTTCTGTCAGAACACCTAGCATCATAGGAACAAAATAGCTGCTTAGTAAGATATACTTAATTGGACTGAATAACTCATTGATTAAATCTAAGTTGTATTTATTTGCCTTTTCATTTTACAGCCAAAAAAAGTGAGCTAGAGCGTCTCAGAAGACTTTTCCACAGCTTGGTGGGAAGAGCTGATGGAAGATTTAATAACACTGGGCTAGATCGTAACACATTTCGAGGGGTCCTGCACAACGTATTAGGAATGACTGATGACATGTTGGCGAATAGGGGTAAGAAGTCATAAGACACTAAAAAGAGCCAATCTGAAATAGCAAACTACTCAGATCCCGAGTAGCTGGGACTACAGGCATGCACCACCACCCCCAGCTAACTTTTGTATTTTTAGTAGAGACGGGGTTTCACTATGTTGGCCAGGCTGGTCTCAAACTCCTGACCTTGTGATCTGCCCACCTCTGCCTCCCAAAGTGCTGGGATTACAGGCGTGAGCCACCATGGCCAGGCTGAATTTTTTTTTTTTTTTTTTTTTTTTTTTTTTTTTTGAGACGGAGTCTCGCTCTGTAGCCCAGGCTGGAGTGCAGTGGCCAGATCTCAGCTCACTGCAAGCTCCGCCTCTCGGGTTCACGCCATTCTCCGGCCTCAGCCTCCCGAGTAGCTGGGACTACAGGCGCTGCCACCTCGCCCGGCTATTTTTTGTATTTCTTAGTAGAGACGGGGTTTCACCATGTTAGCCAGGATGGTCTCGATCTCCTGACCTCGTGATCCACCCATCTCGGCCTCCCAAAGTGCTGGGATTACAGGCTTGAGCCACCGCCCCTGGCCCAGGCTGAATTTTTTTAACTCCAAACTAGAAAGGCATAATTCCAGAGGCATGGTGCTATAAACATAATTGGTTTGATCATGAGGATAGTTTTCAATACAAACTCACTCAGAATTTCATACTTCATAGGTGTACAGCTTTGAGAAATAACCAGTAGGTCCAGGCGCGGTGGTTCACACCTGAAATCCCAGAACTTTGGGAGGCTGAGGCAGGTGGATCACCCGACGTCAGGAGTTCAAGACTAGCTTGGCCAACATGGTGAAACCCTGTCTCTACTAAAAATACAAAAAATTAGCAAGGTGTGGTGGTGCATGCTGAGGCAGGAGAATCCCTTGAACCTGGGCGGCAGAGGTTGCAGTGAGCCGAGATTGTGCCATTGCACTCAAGCCTGGGTGACATGAGCGAAACTCTGCCTCAAAAAAAAAAAAAAAGAGAAAGAGAGAAACAACCAGTAATGAGCTAAGTAAGCTAGCAGTATCTTTTTTATTTATTTATTTATTTATTTATTTTATTTATTTTTTTTTTTTTTGAGATAGTCTCCCTCTGTTGCCCAGGCTGGAGTGCAGTGGTGCGATCTCAGCTTACTGTAACCTCCACCTCCCAGATTCAAGGGATTCTCAGGCCTCAACCTCCAGAGTATCTGGTATTACAGGCATGCCACCAAGTCCAGCTAATTTTTTTTTTTTTTTTTTTTTTGAGACGGAGTCTCGCTCTGTCGCCCAGGCTGGAGTGCAGTGGCCGGATCTCAGCTCACTGCAAGCTCCGCCTCCCGGGTTTACGCCATTCTCCTGCCTCAGCCTCCCGAGTAGCTGGGACTACAGGCGCCCGCCACCTCGCCCGGCTAGTTTTTTGTATTTTTTAGTAGAGACGGGGTTTCACCGTGCTAGCCAGGATGGTCTCGATCTCCTGACCTCGTGATCCGTCCGTCTCGGCCTCCCAAAGTGCTGGGATTACAGGCTTGAGCCACCGCGCCCGGCCATGTCCAGCTAATTTTTGTGTTTTTAATAAAGATGGGATTTTGCCATGTTGGTCAGGCTGGTCTTGAACTCCTGACCTCAAGTGATACACCTGCCTTGGCCTCCCAAAGTGCTGGAATTACAGGTGTGAGCCACCCCATCCAGCCTGATCAGTAACATTTTTTAAAAGATACGCAGTTTGTGGCTTTTAATCATGATGTCTTTAGATTCGCATGCTGTAGACATGTAAACTACTAAATGGCTTCATTTTCCTCATAAAAATAAAGAACATGTATCAGTTAGTATAAAAAATGGTAATGACTCATATTGAAAAACTCAAAGATCATATCTTTAAAATAAAAAAATTACTTAATGTGATCCAGTTAGTTTTAGTAACAGATTTTTTTTTTTTTTTTTTTTTTTTAATTGAGATGGAGTCTCTGTTGACCAGGCTGGAGTGCAGTGGCACGATCTCAGCTCACGCAACCTCCGCCTCTCGGGTTCCAGTGATTCTCCTGCCTCAGCCTCCAGAGTAGCTGGGATTACAGGCGCCTGCCACCACGCCCAGCTAATTTTTTGTACTTTTAGTAGAGACAGGGTTTCACCATGTTGGCCAGTCTGGTCTTGAACTCCTGACCTCAGGTGATCCGCCCTCCTCGGCCTCCCAAAGTGCTGGGATTATAGGCCTGAACCACCGCACCCAGCCAGTAATAGATTTTTAAGATATACAATTTGATAAGTTTTAACACATGTATACACCTATGAAACCATCACCACAATCAAAATAATTAACATAGTCATCATCTCAAAAAGAGTAAATATCTTAACTTATTTTTATAGGATAATACTAAATTTTCCAATTTTAAAAATAATGTATTATTTTAGTAAATTACCTTTAGATATTGTGCAAACTCTTTAGAACATATTTTTTGCCACTTTTTTTTTTTTTTAGAGTAAACATAATCCCATTAACTCCGCTGTGTGTCTTCTTGGCGCATAGTAACTGTATAAAACATCACAAATGAAACTCATCAGTGCTCATGGAGGAGAATGTCTCTTTTCTTTCTTCAAGAATACAGCGTAAAACACATTTCCTGTAATTTTGATTATTTCAAGAGACTGTGCCAAAAATTTTCCCCCTCAATTTGGGAGAAACATTTTTCTATCTATTCATACTTACATACTGTTGAATTACAAAATAGCACTAAATTACAATACAATTACACATTCTTTTTATTTCAGTGTTTTTTGCATTTGACAAAGACAATGATAACTACAAAAAAGTAAAAGAGTAGGTTAAAGGATTATCAGTGTTTCTTCAAGGAACTTTTGAAGAAAAGCTGAAGTGTAAGATTTCTGTATGTAATTACTGGCTTGGTAATATATAGACAATTTTGTACTTAGTGAATGCTTAAATGTTTAAAAATATAAAATCAGTGTTCTTTATAGCAACCTTGCAAAAATAGTTCATGACAGCTTAAAAAAAAAAAAGCAAATGAAATGGGTGGCACAACTGTAAGGTCATGGAAGAGTCCCCAGCCCCAAACATTTCCTTTACTGGTTCTGGAATGCCCAAATGTCACCACCAGGATGGGTCTTTGGCTTATGGCCCACATTAAGAACAACAGCTAAGAGTCAGGGCTTGTGCCAACTCTGATCAGCTGGCAAGACTGCATTTCCGAGGCTGCCTCCGAGGCAGGAAACAGGCTTTGCACATGGCAGTGCATGGGTTATGGAGGGGAAATTCTTTGACTTTTCTTTGACATTTATGAATTTTTTAGTTTCTCTGTGTTGTACTTTTTTTCTCCCACTCTAACTTTGCATGAGATGAGATAACTTTTCAATATAGTTTCCAGCTGGTCGTGGTGGCTCACTTCTGTAATCCTAGCACTTTGGGAGAGGCCAAGGTGGGTGGGTTACTTGAGGTCAGCAATTCCAGACCAGCCTGCCACCATGGTGAAACCCCCTCTCTACTGAAAATACAAAAAGTAGCTGGGCGTGGTTGAGCTTCCCTGTAATCCCAGCTCCTGGGGAGGCTGAGGCAGGAGAATTGCTTGAACCCAGGAGGCAGAGGTTGGAGTGAGCTGGGATCACTTCACTGTACTCCAGCCTGGGCGACAGAGTGAGACTCTGTCTCAAAAAATAATAAATAAATAAATAAATATAGTTTCCACTGCGGTGTTTTATACAAAAGTCTCACTGAGGAGTGAACAGTTGTTTTCAGAATGTAAATTCTTGTGGTAATGCTAATATTTGGTGAAAATGGTCTTGACACTGAATGCAGCTGTACACGGTTGAACAGCCTCCCATTATGAAAAAAATTTTCCGTCTCTAATCTCACTTCCTAAAACTGTTTCATATACACTTAAAGATATGTTAATTTTGAGAAAATACTACTTTCTAGTCAGGTTGTATTGCAAATTCATATGTATGCTATAGATTGAAGAAATTCAACAGAAAGACCCAACTAATCTGATAATCTGGAGTTTTATTCTTACTTTTACTAAAACATTTAATTAGATTATAAACCCCACAAAAGCTCCTTCACTGTGGGACTCCCTTATTCACAAATGACCTGAGTAAGATCATTTGTGGGATAAGTGAGTGAACTTTGTGCTTATAAAGATCATGGAAAGCATGACCTTAAGTTCCATGATTATAAGTCATGGAAAGCATTCTCCAGGGAGAGGTTATTTGATAATTTTGGATAGTGCAGATGAACAGACCCCAAGGACATTACTGATTCACCATCCGAATATATCCAAAAACGTTCTTTGTCAGCAATATAGTGAAGTGTGTACTTCGTTTTTGCACTCTATGTAAGAAGAGAATCATAATATTGACATAGATACACACATGCATATACATGTATGTATATATATGTATTGCATGATCAAAGGTTTAAAAACTTCATCTCAAAGCTCCTTGATTACAGCTTCATATCATTTTTAAACTTGTAATATAAAAATCCAGAAATTACATTTTTCTTTTCACATCCCAAGGAATATTTAATCTGATAGAAAAAATATAAAGAGTGCTTTATTCTAAAATCTCTCTACCGTATAATAGATTAAACTCGTCATTGTGTGGAATATCCATTGTTTTTTCTTTTAGTATCATAAATTGAAATAACTAAAGAGAAGACTAATGACACTTGAACTGCTGTTATTCAAATCTTTAAACTTCTTATGCTTTAAAAAGTCTGTAAGTTTATTATTTAAATGGAGATGGTTACATTTCTCGAAAGCAAATACTTGACATGTTGAAGAACAGTCTACACCAACAGTCATCTGAAGAAGAGACTATGAAGGAATTAAAGAATTGGTAGATATAACACGGAAGAAAATGGTAAGAATTAAAAACTGCAGTTCATTATAGTTAGATAGAGCTAAGGAAATGATTTCTTTTCTTCCATAATGAATGTAGCCTTTATGAGTGCAGGGGTTTTTGTTTGTTCTCTGACCTAACTATTGCCTAGAACAATGCCTGACTGATAGCGGTGCTCAACAAATATTTATAGAATAGCTGGGCAACTAAATGAATCACTATACAAAATGAATGCTTATTTTACTATTTTTAAAATTTTACTCAGTAAAACCTCATTAGTTTAGGGGGA